TTTAATTACTTCATATAATGAAAACACTATTAATAAATAATAATTGTATCTTTAATACTTAACCACTTCTCAAGACATATGATAGTATCGTTCCATTTCACAATGGTAAACAAATTACATTGCTAAATCAATAACACTATGATTTTTTCCACTGAGGTCAAGGATATCACTCATCTTTGTATACTTACATATACACTCATATATTTAAACAAGATAATTTTAGAACTCATGATATAAGTGAAGCACAAAGCGTGAATAAATCTCTATCATTATAATTAATTCTAAACTATTGTTGATGTTACTTACTTAATTACTTACCTACACACTTACTTACTTACGCCTGTTACTCCCAATGGAGCATAGACCGCCCACCAGCATTCTTCAACTCACTATCTACTGGGCCTTCCTTTCTAGTTCTATTCAACTTTTGTTCATTCTTCTCATGTTTGTCTCCATTTCTCGGCGTAATGTGTTCTTTGGTCTTCCTCTTTTCCTTTAGCCTTCAGGATTCCATGTGAGGGCTTGTCTTGTGACGCAGTTGGGTAATTTCCTCAATGTGTGTCCTATTCACTTCCAGTGCCTCTTCCTAATTTCTTCCTCCGTTGAAATCTGGCTTGTTCTCTCCCACAGTAGAATGTTGCTGATAGTGTCTGGCCAACGGATCCGACGTATCTTGAGTAGACAACTGTTAATAAACACCTGTATCTTCTGGATGATGGCTTTCGTAGTCTTCCAAGTTCTCCAAAAAAGGCCATCTACGTTTAAACAAATAAATAAATCACTGTGGTATGATAATGCAAACGATATATTTAATTTACCATAAACGTATACTGAACTAAACATCGGTGGATGATCAACAGTCTACACTTTCTTAAATGGATAATGGTCAAGGCTCTGCGTTCAGGTTGTAGTCCACTCTGTGGGCATGAGTTCGAATCGCACTCCTAACACTAGACTTATGCACACGAACGTGAACTCAATTACGTTCCTCTAAACACGCACACACCAGTACAAACGGAAAAACTTACTGGCAAATGTCTGCATCACATATGACAATGTGTGTATTTGTGTTTGGATGATATTTTCAAATAGTTATGTTTAAGAAACTAGAGGTGTTATTGGTCACTATCAAGATGTGTCGATAATAAATGAAATATTGTGTTCAGGAATATCACAGTCTGTAATTAACTGAAGAGTCGTTGAATAATTTTACAATGTTATTCCCATTAAAATTAATTTCAGTTATAAGTTACCCAGAAAGAAGCACACATTGAAGGCCGTTTTCATGTGATTAGTTATACTTGACCGAAAACACTTAAAACGAAAATAGTTTTTGCTGACCTTAAATCTGTCATTATTTACAGATTTGTGCTGATGATGTTGTTCGAAAGAACGATGAAAGCTTCAGCTCAGAGAACATAACTCTATCAAAATCATTCATCTGAGCTACAAATCTTCCCCACCATTTTAAAATCGTAATTATAATCCCTCACACTGATTTATAACCATCATTTAATCCTAATTAGTAGATGGAGATGTTCAAGGTCACTTTGGCGTTACTCAAAGGTCATTTATAAATTACAATTTCACCAATAACATTCATGATATAACTATTAATATGGTAAGCAAAACAGATTAACTCAATTCTTATTGGTTACTTTTCCTATATTTTATTGATTTTTCCTACATTATATAATTTCATTGAGTTTGATAACAAAATTAACCAATCAGAATAAAAGAATTTTTACTATTTTTCATAAGACAAGTATATAAGTGAAGAAGAGAGAAAAAATTTTTTTTAAAAAAAGATTATTTACTCAGAACTATCATAGCATTAATGTATTATCATTCCATGATGATTATCCGTAAACAATTATCTTTATTATTATTACTACCAGGATTATAAGTTTTAGACAGTAACTGGAAGAAAGAGATCATAAGTTATTTTGATTCAATATGTATTTTACATTCATAATCAATCTTCTATTTACATGGAAATATATAACATGTATGGTTTATGATTTCCAAAGATATCCATTATCAAATGATGATGAATTTCAAAATGAGGTATGTTAACTATATATATATACCCTGATCAACTCTTTAAGTCATTCATCATTTCAATTGTGTATAGTACAGTGATTCTTATCATTGTAGATTTAATTGACGGGTTATAGATGTATACTGTATAACGTGTTACTACACTTTTATGAATTATCTATGACTGTTTTGGATTTTTATTTTTGTAAACCTCTGAGTACACAGAGTATGAACAATGGTATAAGTTTGTCTTTGTGTATCTATATGATAAACGAGAAGTGTTTAAACACAAATACATACATTCTCTCCCTCCCTCTCTCTCCTTATATATATATACTTCTGTGTGCAAATGAATCAATAAACACATCTCATTTTCATAAGCAAGACACTAAACCCATTAGATTTACATTAAAAGGGATGAACTTAAAGTAATTGCAACCAACTATCTAGCTAGTTTATGGATGATGATAACTTTTCTGATACTATGATACAAATGACGCAAACTGATTTCTTATGATTAATACTGTTATGTTGAGGTAGTAAGCAGCTGATGATAAAACCGTGAATTCATGTTATTCTGCTACATTAATTGTTCTTGCTTTGGTCAAATTTATAAATGGGGAAACTTCTAATGGAAGTCTGCAGTCAGACGGAAAATAGCTTCTGCAAATAAATAGTTTATAGAGAAAACAACAGTATTGAAGATTATGAACTGATTTCATGTAATTAATTAATCTATTACTAAAGTCTTCTACAGGTTACTCTGTTTGTATATCCTCAGAATATAACGACATGTTTTATTTATTTATTTTTTGAAACACAAAGGGGCACAAGATATATATGCGACACACAAATCTCATTTGATTTGTGTCAGGGCTATGATACTACCCGGGTGCCCAAACTGAAGCAGATGGTTTTCTCAAAGAGACACACTCGGAGCCTTTGACCTAAAGATCTGATCCATAAGACAGTGGAGCATCGTGAGGTGACCAACAGTTGGTTCATAAGCCGTTTGTTCACCCAAGATACTGGCGCCCATGTGCACCATCGGTTTGGAATCAGGGTTTTTCAACTTCCTTACGTGGACTCGCCGTGTCCACCAACCCGGTTAGAACGCCGGAAATTCGCTTTTCGTCCTTTCAATTTCGTAAACAACAGTAATGCCACTGTGAGAAGGCAGTGAGTAGGACTTCCCTGACAGGCTGTAGTGCCGTGCTTCAATAATATTTCACTTCGATAACCGTTATTATACCAATCTTATCGGTGCGTAATATCAGAAGGCAAAAGGAAGCGGCAACTACATTTTTATTGATGAATGATGCAGACCAGAAAGGTATGGGCACATGAGCAAGTGTAAGCGAGCGAAGCAAAGATGATGCATAGTGAAGATGGCTGGGAAGCCAACTCGCTATGTGCAAGCATTACTCAATATTTATGGTTAGACAAAAATGAATGACAGACATATGATGAATAGGATACGTAGAGTACACATATACGCTCATATAAAAAGTAGTCAAGATTAATAAGCGAATAATTAACAAGACCAAATTATGACTCATAATGTATAGGAGAATTGACTTGGCCAGTAGCTAGAATAAAGTATATGGGCTTAACATATAAATTGATACTACAAGGCTATATACGCGTGGTAATATGAGAGCATTTCGATAGGAGAGCGGAGTCTCCCCACTCTCGGCGGTACCAGGGCATTTGGGGGCTATGGATATAAATAATTCCTTTTCTTGAAATCCCTAAAAACAACCAAACAGGTTTTTAAGAGTCCTCAGGATTATGATTTTCATTACAAATTGACATCAGGTATAACAAGAGAAGTGCTCTGTAGCCATATGGATAAATGAATTTTCATCGAAAATATAAGGAACCCTACTTGATTAGTTCAGTCGTAAAATAAATTATTCAAAAGATTTTAAGCAATACAAAAAGATATTTCTATTACTCATATCATGTCTCATTTCCAATTATGAATGGATCGCCCATAAAGTATAATTCTACTAGACTTACTAGTTTGAAGTTGAGCTACGCCGGTAACTTGAAACAAGTGATGTTACCTCAATGTTGTCTTCATAGAGCTCATTATTCCGAAGTTTTAAAAATCATACTGCCGTCACAGTTAGTAAATGTCTGTATTAGACTTTAACGAGTTGGAAAATATGATGTTCAACAATGTGTAAAATGTTAATCCATCTCTGTTATTCAGTGACATATTTCATTAACCGATGATCACTTTTATGTTTCAGATTCCCATTACACAGAACTGTAATATACAGTGATACAATCGATTGACCAATGAGTAGCTTGTTTAGTCTTTTTAGTACTGATTGGATTCTGTCGACTACGTTGTAACATGATCATTATTCTAGGTGTTTTGATATGGCATAAACTATGATGAGAACTTAAAACGCCTAGACCTTTCTTCCTTATCTTATCACAGAGAACGAGTTGATCTTATATTAGTATTCAGTATCTTAGATAATGACTCAGATGTTAAGATGTCATTTTTTTATCCTTCCGGAACTGATCATCTATGAGAACACAGTGAGAAGGTTCAAAAACCACGACCAAATAAGCTCTGAGTGGGGTCGCGATTTTCTTATCGAATGATCGGTGACTGGAACATCCTAACTGAATGAGTAGTATAAGCCTCATCAGAGAACACTTTCAAGGAAAAGCTGGACCTTCATTGGAAAACGAGTTGCCAATATTAACACACGCCCTGCAAAATACTGCCCTTTTTACTGAAGACTGAGATTTAGGGTGAATAGATATAGATTACAGCATGCAGAAGTATACAATAATTGTACATAGCTCTCATTTTCAGTCTTGATAATTTATTTGTTAGTTTAAAAGTTATTATTTATTGGTATATTCGTAGTTGAAATCATGAGTCAATTGAAGCTAGACCATCATAGAATACCTGGAAGCACTGGACGGCCGTTTCGTCCTATTATGGGACTCCTCAGCATTGGTATACGGTAATATGTAAATGGTAATCTTCCATATTGAGCATGTACTAAGTCAACTGTTCAGCAGTTTTGTCTCTCTTAAATTTACTCATTTAGAACTTCAGCTTCAATTGTATGATTAAACTATCATGAAAATTCCGTGAAAACATTATCATTGAAGTAGTCCATCATACATTCGTAATTATCAGGGTACATTACCTATTTGGTAATAAAAGCAGTTCTGACAGTTGACTTGGATTTAAAATTGATTTTGATGATGTTGTTTTTACGCTTTTACAAAATGGATCTGGGATGTGCTTGGGATATTGACATCGATTTATTTTTCTTGAAGAGTTGAAAATTAATTGCAAAAAAATGATTGAACTTACTCGTCATCAGAAAATTTATTGTGTCATCCTTGTCTGACGTTAATTTATATGAGCTCCACTAGTTATTTCAATAAGAAAACCCGGAGTGAGTAGGAAGCTTCTGTTGGCTAACCTAAATCGAGATTATATACACAGGCTCATTCATAAACATATATCTGTCTCCTTCAGAAAATCGAGCTAGAGTTTCAACCAGTACCGTTTCATCGGTTTCCTCAGAAAGCTAAGTCAATTCATGATCAGTAGCGTGTGCTCATCAGTATATACCTCTTATCATTCGGTCTACAACTGATATGTCTGATTGATCTAGACAATCAATTATAAAAAGGCTTAAAAATTATTAAATAGTGGAAAATACGGACCAAAAGATCAAATTGTGGGTGAATACATTGGAATTCGTACACCTTATACAGGGATGAAATGTTTTTTTCACAAATTGGATTTTGAACGAACGTTGAGTAAATGTCTGTTGGAATGTTGTACAATCCATGATGGGAGCTCCATAATGTAATGGGATCATTTTGTTTCAATATAACATACCAAAAATCCTTTGAATTAGTGCTTTTCTAGTTGATTACTTAATAATTGCTGTAAAACAGTCTATATAACAAAGGATAATTTGACCCAGAATAATCTAGCATTCTGAGACAAATTATTCTTTTCTTCATTAATAAAAAATACAGGTAATGTGAAGACTATTAACATCACAAACAGACTTATGATAAGGAGTGAAAACCACGAAGCACTAAAGAGCTATTTCGTTTTAGTATAGGATGCGACAATACATATTCACCACTCGAACGGAAATCAAACTCACGGCCTTTGATTACTCTTATGAATTCTAAAATTAAAGATCGATAAACCGGAATCTGATGGTGTATATGTCTGACTTTAGTCATTTCATGGTATTGCATGTCCACCTTACATTATCCTCGGTAAGTAACTGTCTTACGTCTGAAATGGTCAAACTTCACTGATCACGGATTCTCACCAGAATTCTATCTGTTGAGATTTCCAGCTGTTGTTTTTTTGATTGGTTTTTTAATTCTTGTATATTTTATCTCTAGTTAATTCGACAAAATGATTTCCTTATTGAATTTAATGAATCCTGGCCATTAAAAAGTGTGGACAACTATTTAGGAGTGGTATCCTCCATTAAAGCAACGGATCAGTTAGCTTCAAATGTTTACGTTTTACATCGTGGTAATCGAGTATGGGATGAAAAGTAAGTTAGTTAGTAATATGCCAATAGGAAAAATGGATTGGATTTAACCCTACATTATGTCTTATTGCTAGTCAACTTTTGATTTTGAAGTGGAAAATATACTTTAATCTTGGAAAATTGTGTTATAATCATGATTATCGGCAGCTGACATTGATCTAAATTGGCGTTATTACTCGAAGTGACTGGTTGGCATGAACTGAGGAGATCTGACTATAGCATATTAGAAAACAAATACTGGTGAATAGCTTCTAATATATTTGACTACAGTTCACATACATTGTAACATTAAATTGTTACAACTGATGTACTGAGTGATAAACTTAGGCTAACCTAACACCTATTTGATGATTGAACACACATAAATAGGCCTTCTACTGATGATTAAATTGAAGAGTTGTTTAGTCATTCTTCGTAACATTAAGTAGAAGTGAATTGTCCACATATGACTTAAATCAGTGGGAGATACAACAAAATAAAGAAACAAACAATGACAGGTTAAAGGTCAACAATAACTAATCAAGATCTAGGTCTACAGGACAAATTGGAGGTCATATGTAGAGAAATTCGAATAATTCACTTCTGCTTGAAGTTTGTGCTGATGATGTCGTTCAGAAGGACGGCGAAAGCTCCACGACTAAACCATCCAGCTCAGAGAACAAAGCTTCACCAAAACATCCACCTGAGCTACAAATCTTCTACGCCATCTCAAAATAAAATTTACGATTATCCATAACATGCAATGATCATAACTTCAAGTATTTAATCCATAGAGGTAACAGTTCTTTAAAACGCTACGTTTACTTAAAATAAGCTTGATAATCAATGAATCTCATTGATCATCACTTCTCATTAGAACATCGGAATGCATTTGGAAGTTGCTCACTAGAGATTATTATTGGTATTTGCATTCGTATTATTAGTATTATTATTAAAGTAGGGAATCTGTGGGAATTTACGGAACTGAAAGAAAATACTTGCCGTTGTTTATTGATTTTCAACGGTTGAATGTACCTATAACTTACTTAATGTATTTTCCTTCAACAGCTCCACATGAATTAATAAAGACTGATAAATTGCAGTCCTGAACATTAATAAATGGGAAAATATAAACTCTTACATATGTAACTTCGTACCAATTCAACAATTTAGTGGCTAAGTAGCCTAAATGAAACAACATTGGAGGACGGAACACTCATACTGGATTTCACTGCCGGCTACAGTTCAAATCTAAAAAAAAACGTCCAGGTATTAAGGCTATCTCCAGCCAAACTGTTCAGGAAAAACATGTCTTCGTAGCGAATCAACAATTTTGATCCTGAATATTAGCAACAAAAAAATACAAACCTTTATGAAAAGAATATCACCATTTGATGTTTTTCATCTCTGTCTTTCATTTTATTTATAGTACATTTGATGATCAAAATAATTATCGTCTCAATAAGTCTGAACCTATACAAAAAGGAGTTTTAGTACAAATTTTTAATGGAGAGATTAAAAAAACTTATTTTCCTTTCAAGTAAGTGATATTTTCTGTCCTTCCATGATATCCTACTATAATATGATGATAAAACCTGTCACGAAACTATACTAAGACTAGAGTGCATACTCGACAGATAGGCTATTATCACAATTGATTGATCACTGGGTGGTGATCAATGTCATGTGTGTCAAGTCCTTCTTAGTGCTGATCGAATTGCAATTTGCCCACTAGTCTAGGTGGCTGGACACTGCATGCACTATGTTGAGATAAGATGGTGGTTGGAGGTGGTCAACAGGAAACCCTGGACCCGGTTTTCATGCTACTTGGCACTCGTCAGCGTGGTGTACCTATAATCCGTCAGGGAGCACCAGTTCCCGTGTCACCCAGCTTCACAGTCAGAGACGTTTCCACTAAGCTATTCGGGCTGTGACTAACCTCCTGTAGGACTGAGATGTAATCACAATTTAGTGATCACTGGGTGGTGATCAATGTCATGTGTGCCAAGTCCTTCTTAGTGCTGGTCGAATGCTATCTATCAAGTTACAATAAGGTCACTAGTTTAGGTAGATAGGCTATCATCAGAGATTGAGATCACATTACACCAGATTTGTGATCCGTGACTATATATAGAGTACTAGAGTATAAGCTAAACGGTACTTGATTCAGTAGAATTGTAGTCCATCTTGATTCAGTGAAGTTTAGAGTAGAAATCAATAATAAAAAGGAAATCACATATTCACTAGTCGGTGAGCTAAGTGTCTGTTTGTCTTCACTTATTGATCAATCACATTATAGTTTCATTGACCATGCAGCTGTATTTATCAGGAAACAAACTATTTTCTTAATAACAGCTTGCAATTTTTGTTTTTGGAGGTAGGAAATAAACAGTACGAAGGTCAACAGTGAGTTGTCTTCGCAGATCAAGGAAATACAAGTAGAGTTGAATGTCAAAATGTATCCGTATATTCTGAAGCTTAAGAATCCTGTCAAAATACTTTAGATGGTTATATGTATTAAATAAGAAATAACCCTAAAATTCAAGCAAACAGATATTGAAAAAAACGGAACCGTCTATCAAATGATTGAATATAATTGAGAAATAAAATTTATCATTTATTAGTGGGAACTAGTAGGATTATGTGTTGACTTTTCAATTGACCAATAAATAATCAAGACTGAAAATGAAGGTCACAAACTAACCAATAACCATTCAATTCAGTATTTCGTAACGAATACTTCAATAATTTCTCATTGGTAATTGGTTAGAATAAAACAAAATATTTTTTGGTTGGAGTTAGACATAAACACCATCGGATGCCGGCTCAGTGGTCTATCAGTTAAGTGCTCTCGCTCAAGACTGGTGGGTCTTCGGTTTGAATCTCGCAAGGCGAGGTCATGGATACGCACTGCCACTGAGGAGTCCCACAATAGGACGAAACGGCCGTTCAGTGCTTTCAGGTTTTCCCCTGGTGGTCTAGCTTCAATCGACTCACGCTTTCAACTTGATCTAACTGTTATATCGATTGTCGCTTTCAGGATGCCCAGTTAATATATAACGTACTAATTCCCGCAAATTAGAGAGGAATGAATTTTGTCGATCGGATTAATGATACACGAAAATCGTATGAGCAGTCTTGAGTACTTATCAATCCTGCTCTCTGCTTCTAGTCCAGCCAGTTAAGTCCAGAACACTAATAATAGCCTCTGCGGTATTAGTCATTATTCTTAAACAAACTGGGTTTATATACCAAACAAACAGACCACATCGTACCATAAAATAGAAAATAACATTTGTACAAGATTTAGCCAAAAATGACAGTGAATAGGGGGAACAGTAATCAATAGACTAGGGATAACTCAGGAATGGTAAATCGTATAATAATAGTCCATGGGTCAAAATGAAGCTTATAATAAGAGGAACACGAATATGAATAGTTAAGTTACTTAACAATTATACAATAAGAAATATACATATCATATTGGTCTATAAATAGTCCTTACAGTTACCTTTCATAATTCTCCAAGGGATATAACACTAACTTAGTAAAATACACAAGTTTTAAAATAAGTATTCATTATCAATCGTAAAATGACATATTTATTTATGGTGTTTTTCTCTTTTTTACTTTTACCGAAAAAATCAAAATAAAGATTCTTTCTTCCTCATGGACTTACAATAGATCCAAATGGAAATTTCTGGATTACAGATGTAGCTTTGCATCAAGTAAGTTTGAGAAAAGCTAACTAATATTATAAGATGGAACTGTGTTGTTCAATATGTAGTTAAATGGTCTGAATTATTTTTCCTGGTTCACGTTGTTTTTAACGAGTTAGCTTTCTACGGGATGGAGTCGTTAACCTCATATTCAACCCTCCTCCTTTATCCGGGCTTGAAACTGGCAGTAGCACCTGGAGGGGCTACAGGTGGAGTTAATAGATAGTTAACTCATGTGCTAATTTCCATGACTATGCTTTAATAATAATAATAATAATAATGATAATAATAATAATAATAGTTATTATTATTGTAAGCAAAGATGGATAATGACTAGAAATGAAATCTAGGACAAAGCGCGTTTCGTCCTATTTGGGACTCGTCAGCTATACGCACAGTATGCACATATGCCAATTAGAAACTGACCAGTTGCAGTCCTAAACATCAATGGGAAGATTCAAACAAACAATACTAAGTGAAGTTATTATTATTATTATTATTTGGTTAATTAACAAGATTGGAAAATAAACTATTTAATAGAGGTTCAAACGTTAAAAAGTCTTCCCTTTCCTGTTGTGATGATCATGCATAGTTTTTAATAGTAGATAATGGTACCTCGTTCTTAAACTACTCAATGCCGTGTTATTTGATGTCATTCACAAAACTGAGAATGATCATGGATCATTCTCATGTTATGTATATATCCGACGAAAAAGTTATATGGGCATGATAGAAAAAAGCATACCATAGACTAGTTGAAGATCCCTCAAGAATTTCTTATACTGAAAACTTGGAGCAATAGTGTTAAAAATACAAATCGAGCCTAAAATAGTTCGATCTGGAAACCTAGGTGTGTTAAGCAGTCCACAAACACACATAAACTTTATGGTTCGACGCTAATAAAGAAACTACATGACATGTTGTCATTTGTATAAATGTACACTAGAAATTATGATCTTGAATTCAGTTGGGAACTTATGACAAAATCTCGGGTCGAGGAGATTTAAATAATTACTGAGAACATGTAGAACAAGAGTATTTGGTTCAATTTTGTTATATCTAGAACTTATATTCTTGCTATACCACGTAAAACTTGAGTATTTGAACGCTAGAACTCTCCAAGTTGGAAAACAGAAAACAAGTGAGAAGGAATCTTATTCCAAACAGTGTCAAATATGGTACAAAACACTCAGTTATTTATACTTTCTATTAAAAATGTAATAATCATTACAGTCATCCAATCCGCATGCAGTGGCTTTTAGCATTTGTCCAATCTGGAGGCTACACGTCGAGATTCTGGAACATTCTTCCAAAAGATTATTGAATGGAGTGTGTTTGGCTCCTTCTGAGCTTCTTACAGCTTCCTTGGGGCAATCCCTGCAAGTTTGCAATCAACGGGTATATCAACCTATAGCCCTATATTTAATAAGATCAGTCAATTATGTGATCAAGGGTCGAATAATCAAACCACTCAACTAGAATCTGAAAACACATGAGGAGAATAAATTTTAACAATAACCAGTCACAGACAATGCTCTCCGAACCGACTGATTTAACGCTTTTGGAAAAAGCTCAGTTCTGCTTCAAGTTAACACTAATGATGTTATCTAGAACGACAATGAAAGCTTCACAAGTAATACCATCCCTCTTAGAGAGAATGAAAAGTCACTAGAACTCGACCAACTTTAGAGAAGGTCATTAAACCTAGTTCATATTTCAGGATGTTAATACTGAATACACATGATAATAGAACTGATGTATACACCTCATAACCTAATGTTTATAAACATTGTACGTATCATGATATCACAGATTCAAAACTGTTTAAATGTAACCAGTCACATATGAATATCAATTAAATTATAAATAACTATCATCGTTGATCATCAATAGTTATCCTTATCGAAATTTTGCCAGTGCTTCAGTAATATATCCCATTTTATCACTATAGCAACTCACGCAAGGTTAGTTGAATTCAAAAGCTGTCTTGGCTTTTCGGAAATATCAATATCTATGATAAAATAAAACAATCGATGGTTCTACAGTAAATCATGATTGGTTTACATTAAAATTGCGTGAACACAACAACAGTCTACCCTCAAAACAATCAAGAATAACAATAACAGACTAAAAATAGCGTAAACAAAATGTTTTAACCAGTAGGAGAACAGTTAATTGATAGGACTATAATTTATGAACGAACCAATAAGATTTGAGAGAGTAAATCTGGAATTCTTGCAGCGAATTAATCCATAACATTTCAGCAATTTAGCTGATTTATACGAATATTCGTCAAGGTTAGAACGAATAGTTTGACAATAATTGGCCGCCGAGTATAGAGAATTCATTATATGTGAAAAAATTATATTTGAAATAGTCTCAGCGATTGAAATTTAAATAATTCCAACGTTTCGTCCAGCTAACTTGTCTGGACTTCTTCAGGGAAATAATCAAAATCAAAAACATCAAAGAAATATATAGTGTTTTTACAATCATATCAAAATCTCTACTACTTTTTAATCCAATCATATTTGGATGTCGAAGTTTTTGTACAACAGGATAATATGAGACAGTTGAATGAGAATCAAGTGAAAAGTTCAACGATGTGAATTAAACGAGACTGCATAAATTGTGTGTATGTATGTATGTGTAAGATGAGTGAGTTATTAATGATGAATGATATTCAGTGTTGATATGTTTCTATGTGAAGTAAAATAGGAATAAACGTGCATAATGAAGGTTGAAAAGTTTTTCTCCTTTCTGAATCATCGAAGTTGCAAATAAAATGAGAATCATCAAGTACATAAATTGTAATGTTAAACATAACTCATATTGATTTCAGTCATAATGACGATTCATGTGAAGTAAACAGGTTGAATAAAAGAAGAAAAGGTCAAATTACTTGCTGAAGAATATTTGCCAAGTGGTAGCTAGCTGAATACCATCCTTTCTGTTTAGGCTGTTCTTATTCGCCCATATATACAGCGCTTCTGCTGTCAATCTTTCTTTGTGAGTGTTGAAACCTTCCTGAAGTATTTTGGCCCCTTCAAAATTAATCCTGCGTCCTGTTTCTAACACATGTAACGCTATTGCAGACTTATTCTCAAGTTTCCCTAAGTCAACCGATGTTTTGGGAACGTTTTTTAAACACTGTTTGTGTTCTTTCAACCTTACCTTCAATTGTCTGGATGTTTCTCCAATATAAGCCGCATTACAATCATGACAATTGATCTCATAGACAATATTTTGTTGTTCTTCCTTTGGTAACCTATCCTTAACCTGCACCAATGACGATCTTATAGTGTCACATGTTCTAAAATACACTCTTATATCATGTTTGTTTACAATCCGTTTGATTTCTTCCGATGTTTCGCTACGGTATGGTATGACTACAGTGGACTTCCAATCTTTCTGTACATGTTGCAGTTTAGCTTTTCTTTCCTTTCTAACAATCTTCTTTAAAAACTCTTTTGGGAACAAATTAATCTAACGAAGGAAATAGAGTATGATGACCAAAAACTGGCATTTCTCGACTGTATGGTTGAACGAAGACTTAATAATAGGAAGTTGAAAATAAATGTTTTCAAGAAATCAACACATTCAGACGAACACTTAGATTTTGATTCGGCGCATGCTTTATGTACGAAAGTCACAGTTGTTAAAAATTTAATTAACAGAAGTCTGAAGCTTGTTACAGATGAAGAAGACCAACAATTTGAATTGAATAGGATTTTAGCTACACTTAGGGATAACAACTACCCAAAAGAGTTTATAAAGAAGATTGTTAGAAAGGAAAGAAAAGCTAAACTGCAACATGTACAGAAAGATTGGAAGTCCACTGTAGTCATACCATACCGTAGCGAAACATCGGAGGAAATCAAACGGATTTTAAACAAACATGATATAAGAGTGTATTTTAGAACATGTGACACTATAAGATCGTCATTGGTGAAGGTTAAGGATAGGTTACCAAAGGAAGAACAACAAAATATTGTCTATGAGATCAATTGTCATGATTGTAATGCGGCTTATATTGGAGAAACATCCAGACAATTGAAGGTAAGGTTGAAAGAACACAAACAGTGTTTAAAAAACGTTCCCAAAACATCGGTTGACTTAGGGAAACTTGAGAATAAGTCTGCAATAGCGTTACATGTGTTAGAAACAGGACGCAGGATTAATTTTGAAGGGGCCAAAATACTTCAGGAAGGTTTCAACACTCACAAAGAAAGATTGACAGCAGAAGCGCTGTATATATGGGCGAATAAGAACAGCCTAAACAGAAAGGATGGTATTCAGCTAGCTACCACTTGGCAAATATTCTTCAGCAAGTAATTTGACCTTTTCTTCTTTTATTCAACCTGTTTACTTCACATGAATCGTTATTATGACTGAAATCAATATGAGTTATGTTTAACATTACAATTTATGTACTTGATGATTCTCATTTTATTTGCAACTTCGATGATTCAGAAAGGAGAAAAACTTTTCAACCTTCATTTTACACTTTTATTCTTATTTTTACTTCACATAGAAACATATCAACACTGAATATCATTCATCATTAATAACTCACTCATCTTACACATACATACATACACACAATTCATGCAGTCTCGTTTAATTCACATCGTTGAACTTTTCACTTGATTCTCATTCAACTGTCTCATATTATCCTGTTGTACAAAAACTTCGACATCCAAATATGATTGGATTAAAAAGTAGTAGAGATTTTGATATGATTGTAAAAACACTATATATTTCTTTGATGTTTTTGATTTTGATTATTTCCCTGAAGAAGTCCAGACAAGTTAGCTGGACGAAACGTTGGAATTATTTAAATTTCAATCGCTGAGACTATTTCAATTATAATTTTTTCACATATAATGAATTTAGCTGATGTTGCTTCGTGATAAAAAACTTAACTCTATTTCTTAGCCTTAACTTTTAATCCTAACCGTTAATTCTAATCCATCATATTAACTCATTACCTTATTAAGAACCAATATGTGGCTACAGTCTCGCTCAGTTAGTTTTTCAATAGCTAATTTAAGCAGTATAATAAGCCAAAACAAAGAAAAAACACTAACTAGTCCTAAGTATAAATTCACTTAGAATTGTTTGTTTGAATCTTCACATTGATGTTTAGGAGTGTAACTGGTCAATCTGTAATTGGCATATGTGCATACTGTGCGTATTGCCTCGATATAGCCTTAATTCACAAGCATTGTAAACAGAGATGGATAGTGGCTAGCAGTGGAATCGAGGATGTGCGTTTCGTCCTATTTGGGACTCGTCAGCTGGATGTACCTACATCTCAGAGTTGATGTTCACTAAACATCAATGGGAAGATTAAAACAAACAATACCAAGTGAATTTAAACTTCACCCCAGTGCACAAGCAAGTGGCTATCAAGACTCAGTAACTGAGTGGATAACGCGACGGCGTTTAAAGCGAACGGTACTGTGTTTGAGTCACAGAATGGACATCAAATCTGAGATGCAGGTACATCGAACTGACGAGTCCCAAATAGGACGAGACACGCGTCCTGAATTCCACTGCTAGCCACTATCCATCTTTACTCCTAAGTATATTTAAAATACAAGAATCTTACAACCTGGCTAATTTTTTTTTCTATACAAAAGGTTTTTAAGTTCTCGTCAAATTTATCTAGTGAACCGCTATTAACACTTGGTGAACGCTTTAAACCTGGTTCAAGCAAAAATCAATTTTGTAAACCAACAGACGTAGTAGTTTCTTCGAATGGACAAGTCTTTATCTCTGATGGGTAAGTAAATTTAGTTATCTTCCCCCTTTATAAATGCTTTCTTCCTAATGAAACACAATTTTCTGGTACCTTGGATATAGATTTTTAAAACACTCCATTTACTTTTGATTTGATCAACTATATAAGGTTACGAGTACTTCCTCTATAGATACACACACAATACAATATGGTTTCAAGTAGAGTACATGACATTGTACTTAGTTGACTACTGAATTGCATTCAAGTAGACTAGATAGGTTTATTAAAATTTCAACAGAGTGTGAAGAACAATTGTAGTAAACTATTACGAATTTTGTAGTATAACTCAAAACTAAGTTGTAATTCTCTTATTAACATTTTATATGTCACTGCTGTTCATGAAAACCGCTTCGGTTTTGATCATCCTTTTCCTAACCACGAAGAGAGATGTTCACTAAATCGTTGCATCAATTGTTTGGTTGTACTCCCGATATAGCTTTCTCCATATGAGCAACTGAACTCGTAGATACACATGAATGTGAAAAAACACAGTAACTTATACTTTGGTCGAACATAAATCATCTCAGAAGTGATAGACAGGATTTAGCGGCATCAAATATCCTGTTCATTGCTTTATTTATTAAATCTTGTTAGTACATCACTAGTTATATATTCATTGAATTGTAGCTTTAGGAAGAGAGGTTTCTTACTAACTATTTATGCCTCTATCATCCTGTTCACTTTATGCAAGTGTTTCTTCAAAAAATAATCCATTTCAATCAACGCACTACGAATGAGCTCTAGTTCCTTGTTTATGGTGAGCTGATGAGTTAGCGAACACCTTCCTTCGTCATTAGGATGGGGTATGATTAAAATAATAAGTAGCTCTGTCCCGTCACACTTGATCGATAGTGGTCATGTAATAAATAGAATTAAATAATTTAAAAACGGCTTTTGCTTATTTTCATTTTAGTAAAATTTAAGTTTCCGAATTTCTTGTTAACTATCTATCCATTCTATCTACCGTACTGCGAGCATGTGTGTGTTAGCTGTAATCGTTGGTCTGATGTGTTGAATATGAGGATAGATTAAATGTCAAATCAGCAGTCTCTAACTGCTGAAATATTTATATGACTTCATGTCTGTCAAATGCCGTTTGGCACCAAGACTCTACAAACTACTTATTACAAGTATCAATAAATATATTTAGCAAACAAATAAACGTAAGTTTATTAAGCTAATCAGTTGAAGTTTAGCTCTAGATACCGATTCGGCAGCTTGAAGGTTATTGGCTTGTTGAAAGACTTAAACATATTGGTCTCCATTTCCCGGTGTGTTTATGGGTATACACCATTGTAGGGTGCTTCCTAGTTTTCAGTGGTTGTCTAATAAAGGTCAGTTTGTGATGTGAACTGTTTTCATGAAAATTGCTCTTGCTTTTCCTAACACAAAATTTTTTAACTTATCAACCTTTATTAGGTACTGTAATAATCGCATTATGAAATTTAATGAAAAGGGAGAGTTTCTAAAATCTTGGGGTTACGAAACTAAAGGTAATTGGAATTATTATTTTTATTGTAAATATCCCTCTTAAAAATAATATTTTCAATACAAATGATCTATCACATCCTTACGTTGTCTCCTAACGAGGATCAATCTTGTCTATTACATGTAACAGAAGCTAAAAGGATTCGAAACTGCAGCCTAATCCATGTATTCAGACTTTAAAACGCTTTCTCATAATCAATGAAGTTGATGTATAGTGACGAATTCCACTCAACTGATTGTTCGACCATGATCCATGGTGTCGCAATTCGGTTTGTGCACGACCGATCCTTATGGAATCCAGCCTGTTGATCTCAAAGATGGATATCTGCTGAATCTTTTATCTAGTTCAGCAACACTTTGTTGAAAACTTCCTGATACCGATAGTAGTGTGATGTCTCTGTAGTTTTCACATCCGTTTAGATCTTTCTTTGGTATCTTGAAAAGGCGTCCTTCTTTCCAGTCGGTCGATACCTGTTCTTCCTCCCAAATCTTCGTGAATAGAACATGAAGCATGTTAGACTTTAGTGCTTCTTCTTTTCTTGAATCTTGTTTTGGGTTTCCACAGAGGTTTATTCCTTATGATGATGCTTCTTGCGGCCCAGTACCTATTGACACGTTGAAGTTAGTGATTCTTTGATCTTTCTCCAGTTGTCCGCCATAATAGTTTTTTTCTTTCAGTAGGTCCTGTAGAGCTTGGAATGTATTGTTGAAAGTTATGTTGAATTCGTTGAGTTTGTTAGTATATGGAAGAGAGGCTTCATTGAACATTTGTACTGCTGTTTACCCAGTTGTCCAATGTTTCTATAGCTTCAGTTTCATCATCATCACCACCACAATCAGGTGGTGATCTGAAGTCGTGTCAACTTCCCTCTCGTGTCAACTTCCCTCAACTTCCCTTCTCACATCTTCCATTATCCTTTTTCGTTTTTTATTTACACAAACATGATCTATCTGGTTCTTTGTAGTGTGATCCGATGAGACCCATGTAGCTTTGTGTATGTGTTTGTGTGGGGATATTGTGCTGCCTATAACCGATTTGTTGAGTGCACATAGATTTCCAAATTACTCACTATTCTCGTTTCTTTCTCATAATCCATGTAGTCCTATGATATCTTCATAACCGTTGCTGTCCACTCCGACTTTAGCGTTTACGTCTCCCATCAGGATGATCAGGACCTGAGCTATGATTGATTGTAGCCTCTCATAGAACTGATCTCTATCGTCATCGTTGCTACCATTGGTGTGTGCATAACATTGGATAATATTCATCGTGATTCCCTCCTTCTTTGCTTCTTTGCATGATGCTTTTATGATTGTGGATCCATGAAATTCCCATCCTGTTAGTGGATAACGAGCCTCTTTTGACAACTTCAGAACAACTCTCTTAGGGTGTGGCGCATTTTCCTCTTCATGACCGGAGTACAACAGCATCTCTCCCGTATCTGTCCTTTGCTGTCCAACTTGTGTTCAATGGGTTTCGCTGATTCGGAGAACTGTCAGGTCGTATTTCATCATTTCCGTTGCTATCTGGTTCTCCCGGTCTCCCGCATTGTCCGGACGTTCCATGTACCTATAAAAATTGTTGCTGTGGTTGTTGGAGCGGGCATCAGCCTCGTGACTTTCGAAGAATCTGGGCTTTCATCATGAGGCGTCATAATTCTTCCTTCAATTTGGAGGACAGAGTTTAAGTGGTTTAATTTGTTTATTCTGGTTAGTGCTTTTTAAACAAGGTTGTTTTCTACAGAATGGGGTTGCCGACCCCAAGTGGTCGTTTATTATCAATAATTACTTGGATGTAATTAGTTCATGATGAAACTATCCTGGAAATAAAGATCTTCAAGAAACACCATACCTATGGCTACTCATTATTAATTCAGTAGTGTATAATTCTTTATGTAATTTACAACTGTTATAAATTTATTTGATTTTCAATAGATCCAAAATCCCCAGGACCATATGATTTAAATCTCCCACATCAGATATCTTTATTAGAAGAAGAAGATGCAATATGTGTGGCTGACAGAGAAAACAAACGTATTGTATGCTACACAGCTGGTTTATATTCGACAACACCAGATAGTACCGGTGAATATCTATTTGAGTACAAGCAACCAGAGAAGAGACCAATCTATGGCGTTGCCATTGAACCGTCAAGTATGTTATAATCTCGAATCTTTTCTATGTGTTCGATAACTAAATCACTGGATATATTCCATTAACACAAATACTGTTAACGCTTTGTAAACTATTGAACTTGATGTTGACCAGTGACACTCTTCAACCGACGATAAATAACCTCATATAATGACTGAGAAAACTCGTATTGTTGTTAGTCTATAAAGTAACTATAAAGTTCGAGATTTCAAATATCAATACCCAGCAAATAACTAGCAAATCTATCATAATTATGATCCGAAAATTCTTTTCTTCCTCCTAATCTTCTCTAATCTCCTGATTATTACGCATCCTCATTTGGCATTCGAAATCTCGAATCACTTTATGTTGAAATCTTTTTTATCTCAAGTACACCACAGTATCAAAAAGAGTTTTATAATGTTCTCTTATCCACACTGTTAAATGCTTTTTCATAGTCAAGGAAATTGATGTATAGTGACGAATTTTAATCAATAAATTGTTCAACAATGATCCGTAGTGTCACAACTTGGTCAGTACATGATAGATCTTTATGGAATAAATTACATACGAAACATTAAAGTGGGGAGCACAAATAAATGAATAATTACAAGAATCACTTATACATCTAATAATGGTAGACGTTTTAGTGATCGGCAGTTTGATCAAGTCAGACCACACCAAGTTCTGACCAAGTCAAAATGCCAGGCGTTTAGGTGTGCAGGATAGTGGGTGCTCACTGCCGAAGAATCCCACACTAGGACGGAACGATTATCTAGTACTTCTAGGTTTTCAATGATGATCTAGCATCGATTGACTGAAGAATTCAACTATTAAAATGTTATTGATCATTCTATTTATGGACTATAACAAACATAGAACATCATCAATACTGACATAAGCAACTGTCTGAATTGCGAAAATACGTTTTCATTATTATAAATAACTATTTACTTACTTACTTACGCCTGTTACTCCCAATGGAGCGTAGACCGCCGGCCATCCATTCGTATATATACATATATCAACTATTTCCTTAAATAACATATTTGTTTCATCTTTTGATTGCTTATTTTCTTTAGCACGACTAATATTCGCTCTTGTTGGCTCTACATTTAATGAGGATAATTCAAAAGTGGAAATTATTGATTTCAATTCACAAGAGTTAATTGGTGAAATCAGAAATGAATGGAAAACAGTAAGTTACAATTTGAAGAAAAAGAAGAAAAGAAAACTAGACTATTAATTTTTATCGATGGTTTAGTTGAAATATACATTGTCCAGGAGTTGATACTGATATGCATTCGATCTATATATGAGCCTAACTGGCTACTGAAGTGAAAAGATTGAGAAAGGAAGTTCATGGATCATACCGAATCGGCCGTATATGTGGCCACTCACTATAGATATATAACCAAACAACCAATACCAAACGCCTCGTTCTTTAGAAATACATGTCATTTTTTCAATATTTGAATGTACTTGATCAGGATCAGCCTAAATAGGGAATGATTCCACTTGGTGTTGTTTACTTGTATCTTCCCATTGTTATTTAGGACTGCCATTGTTCATTCTCTTGTTGGCATATGTGCATCCTGTGAGGGCTGCCTCGCTATTGCCTGAAGTCACAAGCTTTATAATCAATTGCAGTCCTAAGAAACAATGGGAAGATACAAGTAAACAACACCATGTGAATTTAAACTTCACCCTATTGCATAAGCAGGTGGCCATCAGGACTCGGTAGCTGAGCGGATAACGCGATGGCGTTTGAAGCGAAAGGTACTGGGTTCGAGTCACAGAGTGAACATCAACTCTGAGATACAGGTAAATCCAGCTGACGAGTCCCAAATAGGACGAAACGCTCGTCCTGGATTCCACTGCTAGCTACTATCCATCTTTGCTTATAAAGCTTTTGACTTCAGGCAATAAGGAATGATTTGTTAGCAGTTTCTACAAATAACAGATGATTGAAGGTAATCGGGATGAAACCCTAAATCTAAATCTTATTTTATTTTGCAATTCTCATCAAAAAATTGTTATAAATTATTGCCCGGCTTTTTATCACGTGATTCATTTACCAATCGAAATACGACTCTTAGCATTATACCAGACCAATGATGTTCGACCGGTATGAGCAGCCGAGCGTCCTTATTGATCCTTTATCCGTCTAGCCCTTCCAGTTGAGTCCAGAACACTAATAACAGCTACTGTTTTGAGAATCATTTATCTTCAGCATACTTGGTTTATATGTCAACCAAACATTTTTATTTATTTATACACATAAATATTGTTACAAGGAGGTATCAGATACATATGCGCCACACAAATCTCATTCCATTAGCGTGAGGGCTGTGATACTGTCTAAGTGCCCAAACTCAAGCAGGTGGTTTTCTTAAGGGGCCACACCCGGAGCCTTTGACCTAAAGGTCTGATCTACAGGGCAGTGGAGCATCGTGAAGAGATGCAGTCCCATGGTAGCCGGTGACCAACGACAGATTCATACGCCATTCGTTCAATCAGGATACTGGAACTCATGTGCACCATTGTTTTGGAATCAGGGTTTTCCAACTCCTTTAGGTGAACTTTCCGTGTTAACCAACCCGGTTAAAGGGCCAGACATTCGCTTTTCGTCCTGTCTATTTTGTAAACAACAATAATGCCACGAGAAGGCAGTGAGTAGAACTTTCCTGTCAGAGGCTGTATACGCGTGGCCATGTGAGAGCATTTCGAGAGGGAGAGGCGACTCTCCCCACTCTCGGCCGTACCAGGGCATTTTGGGGGCCACAACACACCATAAAATGGGAAATAACATTTATACACAATAAAGCCAAGAAGTGGATGTGAACGTGGGAGACAGTGATTATTAAACTGAATATAATTTACGAACAGTAAATCGTATAATAATAGTTTATAAATCGAAATGAAGCTTATGATAAGAGGATTACAGATACATACAATCTAATCACTGGATAGTTATACAATAAGAATATATATAGAATAATAGTCAATTAAAAGATCCCGCAAGTTACACCTACTTTAATCTTCACTAGGATTTAACAGAAATATCTTTGATCTTGACTATATAGACCACATGTATCGATTCTTATGAATTACAGGCTATGTAATATTAAAAAGTGATCAAATCAAACAGAAAAAAATGATCTCTGATGATCCGTAGAAAAACGTTTGTGAGGATTATTTTTTAATTGCTCACTTATTGAAGGTTAATGTTACGTTCTTGATCTGTCTACCCACTTTCTTGCCGAAGATAACTTGTCTAATGTAGATTAAGACCTTGACGCAATAGGCTGACTAGCTTAATCTTGAGGCTAGTATGCATGAGTTCGAAGTGGGGTTAAATAGACGAAAACTATTCTATCCCTGATTGGTTGAGAAGCACGCGCGAGAGAGAAGATAAGACATCTGGAACACTACTCGATTTATTCCAAAATCCGATTTCCAGATTATTGTAAAGAGACACATGAATAAATAGATGCCTAACTCGACTACAACGTACAATAATTGGGAAAATACAATTATTTTTAAAACTGGGGGATTACAGTAAAAAATAGAGTACAAAAGGTTACGTCTAAATTACAATAGCTTTGGAACAGAAAAGGCTATGGCAGTGAATTATACATCAAACGAAAGCTTATGATCTGTAGAATAGACTAGGGGCGAAAGTAAATGTTACTATTATACAAGCTTTGAATTAAATGAAATAACGTCACCAAAAAATAGCTTCCATAGTTTGTTAAGGCTTCTCGTTTCTCTGTTCACATCAGTTAATCTTGTGAAATTGAGTATTTTTTCATCATCATATATTGATACTTTTATTGTAATCAATCGATAAGTAAGCACTCTGTTTAGTTAAAAGTTCATTATTTAAAAGTCTATTGGAACATTTCGTTATTTTCTTTTCAAGGGATTCGGTGATGTGCATTCTATAGCAACATGTCCATACAACCGAGGAACAACTTGTGTACTATTCTGTAATACAAATTTACCATCACAACTAAACCAACCGGTATCATCAAATCAAACTCAAAGAACTAAAAGCATATCTAAATATCAAGAAGATTTCAATGAAGAAGAACAACTTGAACGACATTTATGGCTTTATCATTTACGATTTAACTCTGAATACGATTATTAGATAATGGAGAATCATATTATCAATCTTAATATTGGAATAGTAATGATAGTCAACACAAATACATGGTTTAAACGAATTACTATTTTATGATCTTTTTTGTTGAAAATGTTCTGATTGGTCCTCATTGACCAATAGGAAACTGACAAACTAAACTATAGTTGATTATGTAATCTTTATGAGGAGGTTTTGTGGTCTAGCTTTAATTGATTCATGATCTCAACTATATAAAATTACTAAAATCTCCACAAAACCCTATTCTTATAATGATCATATGCTTACTAGTGACTAGCTCAATTAGGTATTTCCTGAAGTTCTAGTAAGAAGTAGTGACCAGTGGAGTTCAACTAGGTCTGTTAGTAGATATTAACTTACTGAAGACAATAGTGGATGGTTGCTCATTTTCGTGGATTGGTTGAAGTTAGACATTACCAGCGTTGGATGCCGGCTCAGTGGTCTAGTGGTTAAGGGCCTGCGCACGAGACTGGTAGATCCTGGGTTCGAACCTCACGAAGTGGGATCGTGAATGCGCACTGCCGACGAGTCCCAAAATAAGATTAAGCGACTGTCTAGTGCTTCCAGATTTTCCATGGTGGTCTGGATTCAATTGACTCATGATCACAACTATATATGATTATGTGATCTATTAGGATTTAAAATAGAACTACAAACGAGATTTAAATTTCACTGTTTTAGCTCCTTTCGTATGGTGATGATAAATCGTCTGATGGAACGCTTGAATTGGTTTCACATGCTCTCCCAATAACATCAATCTAAATCTTCACGATAAATTGAACACGAAAAGAAGGCGCGAAATATAGAAAGAACGCTTTACTTCAAGCTTAGTTTATGTACAGAAAATCGAGGGTATTTATAGGATTCCAGATGGCCTTGGGATTCTGGAAGGTTTTGTGAACTCTACCAAACATAGTAGCAGGATGAGTAATCATCCTATCAGAAGTGTGACACGTGACTCGATTTCTATTGAATGATGGGTTTCTTATCGAGGAATACTGTGAACCTCTCCAACAGGTACGGCTTTCTGATTTCGCATCCTGGATAAAATATTTTTGTAAGTGATGATCGTCATCAGGAAGACGAGTTAACAGTAAGAAAGTGTGAACAGCTTTTGAACTTAATTTCAATGCATCCAGTGGTAACACGATTTTCATACAATCAGATTCAAAGCAGTAGGGTGTAACGGGATGGGGATAAAATCATTATTATCAGTGTAAATATCTGGCAAAATATAAATCTTCATGTCTTTCTAAAGTTTAATCTAAAATTCATGAATAGATCAAAACATATGGAAACAGGAAAGCATTATGAAGATAAATATTGAGATATATGAATAAGAGACGATAAAGATATACAAAACATTTCACACTTAAAATAAACATCAGTAATATTGATACCATATTTCCGCTTTACCAATTTCAGACATTATTCAATCTAAGTTTATTCCAGTTGAAGGGGGTAGATTAGACATTCGAACCAACGAAGTAACCATTCATAACTATATCATTCGAAATTAAAACTGTTTAATGTTATGTAACAAAGAGACATCATGGTGTATCATCAATCATTGGTTTTTATCAAAACATTTAACCCCTTCAAATAGTAAAGTTTAATTAGTGGAATGATTGAACGTAACAAAAATTAGGTTTTCATGCATGCTAATTAAGAATAGTGATTTTTATCCAAAAAGTAAACTCAGTGTTATGAAATGGATAAATTGTGGCTAACAGTGAAGTCCTGAGGTTAAACACAGGGTATTAGGGAATGATGGTAAATCAGTTGATGATGTCATGAATCTTCATCGACTAAGATGGTTAGGCCACGTATTACATTATGCCTGAACACTGATTACTACGACGCACAATACTGACTAGTGTTGAAGATGGTTGGGAGAAGGTCAGAGGTGACCAAACCAAGACGCGGCATCAGCACTTGAAGTCACTAACTTCTGGTCTTAGCCACGTTGGTAGATGTGGACTACTTGTTTGGGGTCCGCGTGACCATCGTAACCAATAGTTGAAGACTGTGTGACATGGCTCAGAATCGATCACAATGGCGCAGGTGTATACACTCTTTGTCATCCTTTAAACCTTGAGATTAAAATTGCTTCATATCTTTCTTCCTGCACTATATCCCTTTATACAATTTTTCCATTATATATTACCACCATTAACTTAACTACTTGTATGAATTCGGTGTTCGTTTTGTTGTGCTAACGAGGTATGGCAACTTGGACCAATGCATAAATGTGCCTGGTCCTACGTTGTAGCTGACTGACTGAGTGAACGCGTTTCGTCCTACATTCGACGCGTCAGCTGAATATACACCTACATTCCAGTGTTAATCTTCACACTGAGACTTAAAACCAGTATCATTCTCTTCAAAACGCTAACTTGTGGTAAGACGGTTTTATTGAGGCAATCTGTACAGAATGAACGTTTATCAACAAAGACTGGTCAAAATTCAGTCCTTGATATCAACAATGGGATAACCTAGACCTGTGTTAATAATGATTAATTGTGGAGGTTCGTATCTCGCCATAAAGTGCTTTATACATGAAGAAGCGTGAATGGGGAGGGTTGGAGAAGAACAGTAGGAGAGGTGAATCGACGACCCAACAACACAAAATGCACCTACCTTTATTGAGAAAAATAGACAACAATCAGAAATAATACAACACTCAAGTGAAGAAAATCTTGGAATCGAGACCAGACTCAGATAGCATGAAGTTTTGACCCACTACAATATAAACTAATAATTGTTATCATACAATCTTGGAATTTAGTTCATTTTTTAATTGGTTGTTCGAATCTTCCCATTGATATTTTAGGACTGCAATTGATCAGTCACTTATTGAAATTGACTTATCTAACATTAACATATATTTCATTACTTAAAACAAGCAATTCATATAATTAAATCTATGCTACCAGCTTTTCAAATACAATCTTCCTATTAAAAGGGATTTTGTTCCCTTTACTAAGTAACCATCGTCTAATCTCAGCATTGTTCGTTTGGTGGTCCCAATATAGGCGAGAAATGCTTTTAAGTCGCAAATGCAATCTATGAATACCCCCTAATTTTGAAGCCAACATCTAACAGATATAATGTAGAACAGAATGAGCTGATGCTCAGTATAGTCATCCTTTGACTGGGATCATATATATAGGTATAGATCACTAACAAATTGTAATATGAAACTGGTTAGTTACCATTGCTTCAGCGACTGATTGAAATGTACCTGACGTTAGAATTGAATGTTTATCTTCAATAGGCAATTTGTAAAATAAAGTATACTATTACACAAACTTTAGTTGGTATTTCAACCCGTTCTTCGTTATTCTGTATTTTTATCGATTACCATATACTCTAGATTAACTCCGCCTGTAGCTCCTCTGGGGGTTACTGCCGGTCCCAAGCCCGGGTAAAGGAGGAGGGTTGGGCATGGGGTTAGCGACCCCATCCCGTAGAAAATCAACTCGCTAAAAAAACGCTAACCAGAAAAAATCTTTCAAACTCTCCCTGGGAGTAGAAGGAATAATTATGACGTCTCATGATGAAAACCGAGTTCCTTCGGAAGTCATGAGGCCGATGCACCTTCTTACAACCAGAGCGACAATTTTTATAGGTACATAAAAATGTCCGAACAATGTGGGAGACCGGAAGAGTTTTCCAAATTGCTACAGAAATGAGAAAATACAACCTGGAGGTTCTTGGAATCAGCGAAACACATTGGATGCAGGTTGGACAACAACGACTGTCTTCAGGAGAACTTCTGTTATACTCCGGTCATGAAGAAGAAAATGCCCCACATACACAAGGAGTTGCATTGATGCTGTCCAGAAAAGCACAAAATGCACTTATTGGATGGGAACCTCATGGACCAAGGATCATCAAAGCCTCCTTCAAAACAAAGAGAGAGGCCATTACAATGAACGTCATACAATGCTATGCGCCTACCAATGACTACGATGAAGACGCTAAAGACCAATTCTACGATAGGCTGCAGTCGATCGTCGAGAAGTGCCCAACCAAGGACCTGATAATTCTGATGGGAGATTTCAATGCTAAGGTTGGAATGGACAACACTGGATACGAAGACGTCATGGGACAACATGGACTGGGAGGAAGGAACGAAAATGGTGAGAGATTTGCAAACCTATGTGCCTTCAATAAACTGGTCATAGGTGGCACCATATTCCCACACAAAAACATACACAAAGCCACTTGGATTTCACCGGATCACACTACACAGAATCAAATCGACCATATCTGCATCAACAAAAAGTTCAGGAGGACGATGGAGGATGTGAGAACCAGAAGAGGAGCTGATATAGCATCCGATCATCATTTGCTGGTCGCCAAGATGAAACTAAAACTCAAGAAGCAGTGGACAACGGCTCGGACAACATCACAAAAGTTTAATACGGCCTTTCTTCGAGATGCTAACAAACTCAACAAATTCAACATAGCCCTCAGCAACAGGTTCGAGGCCTTTCATGACCTACTCAATGGAGAGGGGACTACCATGGAGAGCAACTGGAAAGGTATCAAGGAGGCAATCGTTTCAACGTGTCAAGAGGTTCTGGGCCAAAAGAAGCACCATCACAAGGAATGGATCACTGTTGGTACACTGGATAAGATTGAAGCAAGGAGGAACAAGAAGGCAGCAATCAACACCAGTCGAACCAGAGCGGAAAAAGCCAAGGCACAAGCCGAATACACAGAGGCAAACAAGCAAGTGAAGAGGAGCATCAGAACCGACAAACGTAAATATGTTGAAGATTTAGCAACGACAGCGGAAAAGGCTGCAAGAGAAGGAAACATGAGACAATTGTATGATACAACAAAGAAACTTGCTGGAAATTACCGTAAACCAGAAAGACCAGTGAAAAGCAAGGAAGGCAAAGTAATCACCGACATTGAAGAACAACGAAACAGGTGGGTAGAACACTTCAAAGAACTCTTGAATCGACCAGCCCCACTGAACCCACCTAACATCGAAGCAGCACCCACGGACCTCCCAATCGATATTGGCCCACCAACAATTGAAGAGATCAGCTTGGCCATTAGACAAGTCAAGAGTGACAAAGCAGCGGGACCAGACAACAACCCGGCAGAGGCACTGAAAGCAAATGTAACAGCAACTGCCAAGATACTCCATATCCTCTTCAGTAAGATTTGGGACAAAGAACAAGTACCAACAGACTGGAAAAAAGGACTTCTGATCAAGATACCAAAGAAAGGCGATCTGAGCAAGTGCGACAACTATAGGGGCATCACTCTCCTCTCAATACCAGGAAAAGTCTTCAACCGAGTATTGCTAAACAGGATGAAGGATTCCGTGGACGCCCAACTTCGAGATCAACAAGCTGGATTTCGTAAGGATAGATCGTGCACAGATCAAATCGCAACTCTGCGGATCATTGTGGAACAATCAATCGAATGGAATTCATCACTCTACATCAACTTTATCGACTACGAGAAGGCATTTGATAGCGTGGACAGGACGACACTATGGAAGCTTCTTCGACACTACGGTGTGCCTGAGAAGATAGTAAATATCATACGGAACTCCTATGATTGACTAAACTGCCAAATCGTCCACGGAGGACAACTCACCGACTCGTTTCAAGTAAAGACCGGTGTTAGGCAAGGTTGCTTACTCTCACCCTTTCTCTTTCTCCTGGTGATCGACTGGATCATGAAGACGTCAACATCTGGAGGAAATCACGGGATACAGTGGACAGGCAGGATGCAGCTTGACTATTTAGACTTCGCGGATGATCTGGCTCTTTTATCACAAACGCAACAACAAATGCAGGAGAAAACGACCAGTGTAGCAGCAGCCTCAGCAGCAGTAGGTCTCAATAGAAACAAAGGGAAAAGCAAGACTCTCCGATACAACACAATATGCACCAATCAAATTACACTTGACGGAGAAGCTTTGGAGGATGTGGAAACCCTTACATATCTGGGCAGCATCATTGATGAACACGGTGGATCAGATGCAGATGTGAGGGCGAGGATCGGCAAAGCAAGAGCAGCATACCTACAACTGAAAAGCATCTGGAGCTGAAAACAATTGTCAACCAACACCAAGGTTAGAATTTTCAATACAAATGTCAAGATAGTTCTTCTGTATGGGGCGGAGACGTGGAGAACTATGAAAGCCATTATCCAGAAGATACAAGTGTTCATCAACAGCTGTCTACGCAAAATACTTCGGATCCGATGGCCAGACACTATCAGCAACAAGTTACTGTGGGAGACAACAAACCAGATTCCAGCAGAGGAAGAAATCAGGAAGAGGCGCTGGAAGTGGATTGGGCACACCTTGAGGAAATCAGCTAATTGCGTCACAACACAAGCCCTCACATGGAATCCTGAAGGTCAACGGAGAAGAGGAAGACCAAAGAACACATTACGCCGAGAAATAGAGACAGACATGAGAAGAATGAACAAGAACTGGATAGAACTAGAAAAGGAAGCCCAGGACAGAGTGGGTTGGAGAAAGCTGGTCGGCGGTCTATGCTCCATTGGGAGTAACAGGCGTAAGTAAGTAAGTATATACTCTAGATTGTCTTTGAAAGATATACACTTCGTTCAAAGTTACTGTGTTGTTTAGTAAAACAAAAATGCCATAGTAGTTGAGCAACACAGGTTATTTACACTCACAATTGATCACTAATAGTACTAACAAGAATTCGTAATTGAGTACGCAAAGACAATTCTACAAGTAGCACCATATGCCTAGGTATGCTTCTTATAATGATTCATCAACAGGACGTGTGAAATAATTCAATTAGTAAATCAAATTAATATATCATGGTATCACATTTAGGGATATTATGATTGTGGCTTGTCGGACGATACACATCTCTAGTAAGATTGAGTTCGGTCAACACTGTTCAGTTACTTAATAGTAAATCAGTCAGTCAGCTACAACGTAGGACCAGGCACATATATGCATCGGTCCAAGTTGCCATACATTATTAGCACAACAAGATGAACACCAAATTCATAGAAGTAATTACTTCAATAGTAGTAGTACATAAAAGAAAGATTGCATATAAGGAGAAAGAATAAGTACGTAGAAAGAAAAATATAGAGCAATTTTAATCTCACAGTTTAAGAGAAAATAAAGAGTGTATACACCTACGTCATGGTGATCAATTCTGAGTCATGTCACCCACAGTCTCCAACTATTGGTTATGACAGTCACACGGACCCCAACCAAGTAGTCTACATCTGCCAACATGGGCTCAGGGAAGTGCTACTCACTGCCTTCTCACAGTGGCATTACTGATGTTTACGAAATAGACAGGACAAAAATCGAATGTCCAACGCTTTAATCGGGTTGGTGGACACAATAAGTTTACCTAGGGGAGTTGGAAAACGATCATTCCAAAACAATAGTACACATGAGTTCCAGTATCTTGATGGAACAAATGGCGTATGAATCAATTGTTGGTCACCGGCTACCATGAGACTGCATCTCTTCATGATGCTTCACTGCCCCTGTGAATCAGATCTTTAAGTCAGAGACTCGGACAGTGGCCTCCTAAGAAAACTACCTGCTTCAGTTTGGGCACCCGAGGAGTATCACAGCTCTCACACAAATCAAATGACTTATGTGGGGCAAATGTATTTGGTGCCCCCTTGGTACCAATATTTATGTGTTCAAATCAATAAAATAGAACATCAATAGGAAGATTAAGATATATATATACATATCATTATTAAAACAAAAATAAATCAATAAAAAAATAATTACAATTTAATTCTTATTTAAAATAGTTTTTTTTTATCCGGTGATAAAATATCATTTGTATAAGTTTCTTGTTTAAGTAATATATCAGTTACATTATTTAAACAAGTTTGTAATGATTTTGTTTGTTCATTAGATTCAGTAAGAATAGTAATATTATCACTATTACTATTATTATTATTATTATTTGACTGTTGATGAATCGACATAATCATTGAATGAATTTGTACCAATAATTCTGGACATCCATAAATAGTTGCTGCTAAACGAAGTCGATTTAATTCCTGTAAAGAAAATCAAAAAAAAAAGAAATCAGATTGAATGATGAACATTTAAAATATTCATAACAGTTATATACGTTTATTTATTTAAGCACATAAATATTGGTACAAAGGGGTACCAGATATATATATATATATATATGCGACATACAAATCTCATTTGATTTGTGTGAGGGATGTGATACTGCCCAGGTACCAAAATTCAAGCAGGTGGTTTTCTTAAGGAGACACACTCGGAGTCATTGACTTATAGGTCTCATCCAAAAGGCAGTGAAGCATCGTAAGAAGATGCAGTCCCATGGTAGCTTGTGACTAACGATTGATTCATACACCATTTGTTCTCTTAGGATACTAGAGCCCATGTGAACCATTAGTTTGGAATCAGAGTTTTCCAACTCCCCTAGGTGAACTTTCCGTGTCCACCAACTCGATTAAAGCGTTGGACATTTGCTTTTCGTCCTGTCTATTTCGTAAACATCAGTTATGCCACTGTAAGAAGGCAGTGAGTAGGATTTCCCTGGCAGAGGCTATATACACGTGGCCATGTGAGAGAATTTGGAGAGGGAGAGTTAACTCTTCCCACTCTCAGCCGTACCATGGCATTTGGGGCCACGTAAAACTGTGGATGTTGATACTGTTAATTATTTTAAATTTCACACCAAGGAATGACACGGATTAAACAACCACTGAAAACAAAAAAGAACTGAACTGTTGTTTCATCTAAGTATTGGACTTCTCACTAGTGTGCACATACACAATTTCACGAAGAATGCCATTCAGGCTATTTGGATCTTGTGATGAGCATTGCGCTATCATCCAGTAGTGCGGTACGGGAGGAGGGCGTTAGAAAAGGTTGGTCCTTAAAATATTACACCTCACCTCGCCCCACAGATTTCCACCTCCGGAGGTAAGGCTTTTTGAAGCACGAAGCTAGCACATAGAAAACTTCCCATAGAAACGTCGTGTGTGACCAACCTCAAGCGGTTGTCTCGTGTGCTCTTCGATTACATTCCCAGGTCACTACAAGAGCTACTAATTCAGTTTCCTTTTCATTTATTTATTTGAACGCATAAATATTGGTACAAGGGGACACCAGATATATATGCGCCACACGAAAAATTGTCATTGCATTTAATTGTGTCAGGGCTATGATACTGCCCGGGTGCCCAGACCGAAGCAGTTTCCTTTTCAAGTCCCCAAAAAGTGCTCTTCCGCGGTATGGGAAGCCAGAAAGTAACAACCGCACTCATAACTCTCCTTAACAGCATTTAAGGTCCTCTAACTGACCACTAGATTCCTAGGTTACAATAGCCATGCACAAGTAATGAATATTAACATTGAATATATACAACCAGCCGCCATCTCTCCCATGTCTACAATTAATATTAAGCACACTCAATCGGCTTTTGATAAGATATTGTTTTTGATACCCAGGTTTTAGTCAACAAACTTTAAATAGGTCTGCAGAAACTAATGTAATTAGAGTCGCTTTGATGTACATTGATGTCATGACAAAATAAAATGCCCACAATTCAGTTTGCATTTATTTTATACCCTCCAAAAGATTCGTTTTACCATCGTTTCCGTTGTCCAGAATAACCATTGACGTCTTCCCACACGTCGAATTCTCCCACTACCTTGTCTCAACTTCTTTTTGTCCATATGCCCACAATCGACCTTTTCACATAGCTATTTCGCTAAATAAGCAAGCAAATTGGCGTGCATTTAGATGGACGACGAATAAAGAAATTGCATATATTCCATCAACTACCCTTTATATACTTCATGATTCTCCCAAATTTGTTGTTATTTAAATTGCACTCTGGTTTCCTTTCTGTTCTCTTTAATTCAATCTTATGCTTGCAGGCATTCCGCGCCCGTTTGCTGCTATATACTGCTTAAATCTGTCAACATAAGTAGCATACACTACACTCGTCCTCCCTTTAAGCAACCGCTCACCACTTTCCTCTTCGTCACAATATATGCCCCGTTCCTAGGTGCGCTAACCTCCGTAACCGTTTCGACATGTTGAGCCATCTAAATTATATGTCCTCCCAGCACTCGGAATATCCCTTGCGTTCTCCCCGGCGACAGGGACTGCTACACCAACCCCTCCACTCCTAATTACCATACTTGGTGTATCATTCTTGAATCAAACTTCACCAACTAACTACTTCTCTCCAGGCCCTGCAACTGTGTCCTCAGAACTTCAACCTCTACACTACTACTACTAATACTCATGAACCCCATTTTTATATATAAACTTTAAAAAACTTGAAAAGAAACACGTTGTATGCCTAGTAATAATAATAACAATGATAGTTGTAAGGATGGCTCGTTGGCAAACTCAAGGAAGCCTCGAGAAGCCTAGAAAGAGCCAAAGACATTCCATACAATCATTACTAGGGGAACATTCTAGAATGTCGACGTGTAGCTTCCCTATTGGATGAATAAGAATGACCCTCTATGTGTCTATTGGCTGTCCAAAATGATGATTTACTTTCAGCTAAAAAACTATGAATACATGAGATTTTTGTACTATATTTGACACTGTTTTGAGGAATAAAATTCCTACTTACTAGTCTTCTGTCTTCTCTCTTGCGACCTTGCGGATTCGATCGTTCAAGAAGTCTAGTAGTACGCGGCATAACAAGAATCAAAGCTCTAGATATAACAATAGTACTACTAATAATAGTAGTATTGAAGTATTAATAAACACGTAACAACAAATTTCACAGATTGAATTAAATTGAGTAGTATTTAGAACTATCATGTATTTTCTCAGTTGTAAACTGTATGATGGTTATACAATACTCAATTAACCTTAATCAAATTTAAAATCCTGTGCTTAGTTCACAACAATTATACCTAATTAATCATTACCAACAAATAGGCTGATCAATTTCATTTCATTATTTTTCAAAAGATTACGCAATTAATTAAAAACAACGAATTTACTTACTTTATATAGTAATGCAGATTTATCCGGTAGACGCCGACTTAATCGAAGCACTTTATTAATATCCATAAGCATTGCTGACTGTGATGCCCAAGAAACATAACGTGAACCATCTTTATTGAAAAGGAAAAAAATAGTTAAAACAAACCTCTAATCATTATTATCATTAAAAATTAAATAAACTGTTAAATAAGACAAATAGGTGATAGAAATGAAGGTTAGATTAGGAGTGTTGAGGAGATCTAGAGTATTCCTCGAAAAAAGCCCAGAGGGGTCCTGAAAACTCTGGGAAATATTTTACTCAGTCGACATTGAACAGAAGTCTTTCATAAACATCTAGAAAGTGACGAGTCACGTGTCATATCTCTGATTGGATGATTACTTATCCCGCTACTATGTTTGGTAGGATTCCAGAACCTTTCAGAGTCCCAAGGCCATCTGAAATGCTATAAATATCCTCGATCTTCTGTATATAAATTAAGCTTGGAGTAAAGCGTTCCTTCTATATTTCGCTTTTTTTCTCTCGTGTTCAATTTGTCGTGAAGATTTGGCCTGTTGTTATTGGAAGAGCTTAGGAAACCAATTCAAGCGTTCAGTCATAAGATTGATGAAGGAGCTAGGATGAATTCAAGTTCTTCAATGTTTTGTTGGTAAATGTCAATGTCTTTCCTTTGAAGATAACTGAAATAACACGTTTTTCTAAACCATAGTTGTATAAGGAGGGTTGTTTATGGCGATGATAGAATTTCCATAGTTTTAAATTACCAACTGATTTTAGTTAGACATCACCATTAAAAAACTGGGAAACACTGGACAGCTGTTTCATCTTAGTATGAGACTACTCAACAGTCCTCACCCTCAACTCCGCATCCGAGAATTTCGGACGTACTCTACTTAGAACTTCCATACTACGATTAAACGCCCGTCTAATGCTATCAGGTTTCTGGCGGCTGTTTAACTTGGATCGACTTTTTTCTGAGTCTCTGCTTTTAGAGATTGTTAAAACGTGATGTATATCAGTTGCTGTATTTTCAAGAGAGCAATAAATCCCATTGTAATAAAATAGTCTTTACCATTCGTAATCGGAAATTGCTGTAGGTCCAACTGAACCTCAATTCAAAGAAGTTTCCAGAGGTTTAACATTAAGCGAGTCAAAAAATCACTCTTTTAAATCGAGTTGCATAGACTAGTTTTCAGGATGTCAAAAAAGCAAATTGTGTACAGATCTAATATGGACACCGGTTACAATTCAGATGAACTGTAGTGGCTGGTACTATGTCAAGCCCATATAGGTTATTCTAGCCTCTGGACAGATCAATCTATTTATTTATCTCAAGCCACATTTTTACCCTGTCACTTATTCGCCTATCAACCTTGACCGTTATTATGTAAGCGTATGTGTGTGCATTTTTTATCGTACTCATCACATATCTGTAACTTATTTTTGTCTGACTATAAATATCGATTCACGCTTGACGAAATTGAGTTGGTTCATTCGCTTTCTCTGCTGTGCATCCTTTCGCTGCGATTCTCTGATTATCTGTTCAGATCAACAATTGTGTAAAATATACATATTCAAAACTTGATTCTCGTATTTGACTTATTTTAATTCCTTTATTCACTTACGCGAGTTAGTCGATAATCATATAAGAGGATTGGCGATAATAAGCAGCAAATGATCTACCTGAAGTTAGATATCGGGCCACTAAAGAACCTAGTGGATAGTATATGTAGGTGTTATAGCAACCCAGTTCAATGAGTTTTGCGAGTATTTAGACAATTGATTTGTACAATAGATATATATATATATGATTATTAGTCAACTTCTAGCTTATCCACCAATCAATAATTGTCCACATTCATATCACACAAATCTGATTAGCCGTTGCATAATACAGATTGAGAGAAAAACAAGACAGAGGCATGATTAAAAAAATAACAATTTAATTGCATACCAATTTTGTAACTTAAATGATCCGGTGTTCGAACAGGAAATGGTGAAGTTTCATTTTTATCATCGTATAGTTGAGAACCGGCAAAATCTGTAACAGGTGCTAAATGACTAAAATTACCAAGCCAAGGTAAACCAGTACATTCTGAAATAAAAACAAAAAAACAAACCCATTGGGAAAGGAAACAGTTTTAAAAAAAGAAGATCAATCGATGAATTGTTGAGGGGATATACACATTCGTTATTTCATATATTGGTTTAAGGTGATTTTTGTCTGGTCAACTTTCAAAGCGTTTTCGCGATTTATATTGTATCAAGTTGTTTGATTCATGTTGGATTTTCCTTAACTCCGCCGGTAGCTCCTCCGAGGGTTACTGCCGGTCCCAAGCCCGGGTAAAGGAGGAGAGTTAGGCATAGGGTTAGCGACCCCATCCCGTAGAAAATCAACTCGCCAAAAAAACGCTAACCAGAAAAAATCATTCAAACCTTTCAAACTCTGCCCTGGAAGTAGAAGGAATAATTATGACGTCTCATGATGAAAGCCGAGTTACTTCGGAAGTCATGAGGCCGATGCACCTTCTAACAACCAGAGCGACAATTCTTATAGGTACATGGAATGTCTGGACAATGTGGGAGACCGGAAGAGCATGGATTTTCCTTATAATTATTATTTCATTATGATTCCTCATTCAGTGACAATCGTTTAGTTTGATAATATTCTGTAATATATATGACTGAACTGAGGTAGAGATTGGAGGTAGTCGACAAGAAGTCCTACTTGACCTAGGTTTTGTACTATTTGAGATAAGGTGCCAAGATGTGCTTGTAATTCTGAGGGAACTAGCGCTTCCTGATGGATTCGACCCCGTATCACCCAGCTTTACAGTCACAGACGTTACTACTGAGCTCTTTGGGCCACGACTGATCTTCTGTTGGATGTATTTAAAATTGATTGAGTACTGAGTGGTGACTAATTTATTCATTCATTCATATGGCTAAATAATATTTTAGCGGATCTCAGTTCGTAACGAAAACCATAATTCTAATTTCTCACACTAATTTATAACCCTCTTTAGACCGTAGTAGGTTATTGAATTTTCTGAAGGTCACTTTGGTCGTCCGTGAATTACGGTCTCAACCTTCATGTATTCAAATTCCTGCTTGAAATTCAGATGTAGAAAACTTTTGAGGACTGTAAAAAGGTTAAAAAGTCGATCAATGTCGAAGAGTTCAAATATATTAGACGTATCAAAATATTATCAAATTATTTGGACTAAAGATCAGAGGGGGTTTTGTGGAGAATTTAGTATTTTCATAGTTGAAATCATGAGTCAATTGAAGCTAGACCACCATGGAAAGCATGGAAGTACTGGACGGCCGTTTCGTTCTATTATGGGACTCCTCAGCAGTGCGCATCCACGATCCCGCACTTACGAGACTCGAACCCAGGACCTACTAGTTTCGAGCCATAGCCCTTAACCGATAGACCACTGAGCCGGCATCCAACGGTGTTAATGTCTAACTTCAACCAATCCACGATTTTGAGCAACCGTTCACCAATTATCTTCAGTGATTAGATTAAAACAAAGAATAACCAATTGAATTATACCTGGGGAAAATTAAAAGATTATACACCAGCTGAAATTATTTACTAAAAATACCACCCCACCCTTTTAATAACAACAACAAACCTCGTTCAAATACTGACAACATTAAAATGGATTGTTTCATATCAATATGATGCAAATAACCATGACTCCAAAGAGTATGATTCGGGGAATTTTTACCAGACTGTTGTTGTTGTTGTTGAAGATTACGTTTAGATGAATTGTGTGGATCTAACACTGAAATTGTACTTGAATTATTCGACTGAATTGATTGATTATTCATTACAATATAAATATTACACATGGCAACAGTTTTTGTATTTTGTAATGATCGTAAAAGTAAGTGGAGAAGATCAGGATTAGATGGATCTATTAAAATCAATATTGTGTAAATGATAAGAGACAATAATTTTAGGATAATAATGATAGCAATAGTAAAAGTGGTAATAATAATGAAACAATTATGTATTTCTGATACTATGGCAAGACTATACTACACGGACGACCTTCAGCGACTTTGGAAATGACCTTGAAAACAACCAGTCAGGATACAGCTAAGTGCAGAAAAATATCAAAATCACAGAGATTTAAGAACATTGATACGATCAATGAATCTGAAAACTTCCAAACTCTAGAACTTCTAGACCTTAAATCTTTACAGTACTGTCAACACTGAATTATATCTTCTAGAGCTGAAGCAGTCGTGACTTGGGTTCCGATAATCCATTTAAACATTAGAACCATTATTTTCTCGAGTGACAGATATGATTCAGCAAAGAATATAGCATGTTTTATAGATTTCTTTGACCCACATAATTCGCAGCGTAAAATAATATCGTCCCTCGAGTCTTCACTCTCCAGACATCTCATTTCCTGACCATAATCAAATAAAACACTGTTTCTCAGAAGACGAATAGCCTGCAAGTGTTGTACTATTGAGTCGTCTTCTAATTCATTTTAAACGGCACAGGTACATCCATTTTTTTGTCTTCTCTCAGATTCTAAATTCGTGTCGTATATTCGATGCCTAATATTTCTTATTACCACTAATATAGTTACTAACTCTATTATTCTGGGATTTGATCGAACAATGTCATCTCTCAATTTTAGCAGGGTATAACAACTTCAACTGATGTATATACGTACCACATTCTACATTGCAAGTGACTGACTGATTGAAAATGATCAGTTTATTTGAAATTATCAGGTCTAACACTAGTATTGATACGAGTCATAATAATAATGACTAACCAAAATAAAATATAAACGACTGTTTAATAAGAGTTTTCGCCTCAGTAAATCTACGATTATTATACACTTAGTATCTTAAATGAGATAATATCCACTACCGCCATACACCGCCACTGAATGTCACTTAAAAGTACTTAGAAAAACCCAATTGAGTAAAACCTGAGGAAGAATTTTTACAAATGACTGATATCGGAAATACTGTTTCAATTTTAGTAGTAGTATTAGTATCAATGATCTCTATACCCCTTCCTTATAAAGGGTAATACACTGAAACTGTACTTGTATTTAGCAGGAGTGTTACCTATAAACAAGTGGATTTGGAATCCAGAAACTTTTTAATCTCGATCTAAAAGAGTGAATCAACCGATCATATTTGAGTTCAACGCCAACCACTTAAGACTTATTTAGTCCCAGACTAGTTATTACATTGAACCATTTTATTTAACTACCAATTATGAAATTGCACAAGTTACATAAACATAACTAACCCTTGATACTGGATTTGTTTTGTTGTCCCTGTCACTGTTCAGTATGTATATATTTATTGTTCTCTTTGTAATTAACTTTATTATGTTGCATCTTTTGTACTAATTGTATTCATTTACATTATAGGAACAGATTATAATTGCTGACTATATATACATAGTTACCTGCTTTGACTTTGGCAGTATAGTGGACTTATTCAAGACATTCATTAGTAGGCAAAAGTTAAATCCTAAAATTATTATTATCACTTGTACTACACACGAGTAAAGTATCCAATAATACTAAACTATAGAAGTAAGCATAATCGAGCATGAGATTTGCACATTCTGCTCCCAAATGCCCTGGTACGGCCAAAAGTGAGGACAGTACAATCTCCCCCTCGAAATGCTCACACATGGCCACGCGTTTATAGCCTCTGTTAGGAAAGTCCTACTGACTGACATTACGGTTGTTTACGAAATTGAGAGGATGAAAAGCGAATGTCCGACGCTTTAACCGGGTTGGTGGACACGGTGCCTCCACCTAAGGGAGTTGGAAAGCCCTGATGACTTGATTGTGTATATATTAGAATTCCCGATTTAGGGTGTGTTGTGGTCTAATAATTCATGTATGTAAAGTTATGAGTAAGTTTGAGTTATGATGAATAACTACTTGCCAATTTCATCTTTTGATTGGTCACTTACATATTGAAGGAGCTGAATGGACCAACAGAAGTTAAGATGTCCGGTTACTGCATTTTATTGGCAAAATGGAAAACCACTTGACTGATTGACATAAGCGAATCCGTAATTAGTGGACTCTATAATCAAGTGACCCGATTAAACGGACATATAAGACTGTGATAAAAAATGGATACAACTTTAACACAACCCAGTGATGTTAAATATAAATATTAAAATGATAAATCACCTGTTCGACTAACCACTGTAAAACGTCCATTTACAGGTGGATTATTTAAATCACTGAGATTAAGGAAACCGAAAATGTCCACACATAGTGAATTTTTTGCCAAATCATTCAATCTATCAATAATAAAAATATGTAAACACAGTAATATATTAAATTACAATATCAACCCTTGAATAAACACACCTTATCAGTCTAGGTGAGTGACTGTAGTAAGAAAACTTTAACATTGACACATAATACCTGTTGAACTTTGTTAAAAATAATATTTTATTATTCAAGGTAAAATATTTGACAACTTCGAGTCATATTGTTTATGTGACGATAAGCGATACTATTGAACACCACAAATAAGAATTAGGTGTAGGAGAGGTTCGAATCTATGACATACTACTGATTGAAAACTGAATGTTTCAACCATCACTCGTCCCATAAACTGGTTTAAAACCTTTAAGTAAAAGAGCCAATATAGTCATATTTCTACATACATTCCCCAAATCAAGAGAATATCACTGATTTATCTAAAAATACCTAGGTCAGTCAGTCAACTACAATGTAGGACCAGGCACATATGCATCCGTCCAAGTTGCCATACCTCATTAGCACAACAAGATGAACACCAAATTCATAGAAGTAAATTCAATGGTGGTAACATATAAAAGAAAGATTGCATATAAGGATATTGTACAGGGAGAAAGAATTAGTTCGTAGAAAGAAAAATATAAAGCAATTTTAATCTCACAGTTTAAGGGAAGATAGGAAGTGTATACACCTACGCCATTGTGATCGATTCTGAGCCATGTCACCCAGAGTCTCCAACCATTGGTTACGATAGTCACGCGGACCCCAACCAAGTGGTCTGCATCCACCAACATGACTCAGATTAGAAGTTAGTGACTTCAAGGACTGATGCCACATTTTAGTTTGGCCGCCCCTAACAATCTTCCAACCCTCCCCAACACTAATCAGCATAGCGCGTCGTGGTAATCAGTGTTCAGGCATAATGTAACACGTGGCCCAACCATCTCAGTCGATGAACATTCATGACCTCATCAATTGATTTATAATCATTTTCTAATACCCTGCATCTAACCTCACTATTGCTACTTACCCAGTGATCCCAGCAGATACGAGCAATATTTCTAAGACATCTGTGGTCAAATAATAGTAGCTTACGTGTATCTTCTACTATTAATGGCCACGTTTCTCAGCCGTAAAGTAGAACAGAACGAACTGCTGCGCAGTATACTCGTCCTTTAATTGATAGACGGATACCTCGTCTTCGTCATGGGTGACGTAAGTTGGCAAAAGCCAAACTAGCTTTTTGAATCCGTGCAGAGATTTCGTCAGACACCAACCCATTAGGGCTGATCAGACTTCCAAGACAAGTGAAGTTGTCGACGCGTTCGACTACTTCACTCTCTATCCTTAGTTCAGGTGCTGACGCAGGCCAGTCCTGGAGCAACAACTTGCATTTAGAGGGGGAGTAACGCATCCCAAACATTCTGGCATCGTTGCTTAGTGATACCTAAATAACCACACTGGTGAATTACTTGTTATGCATACATTATTTATCCATTTAACCAATTATTTTATTCATCTAATCACATTATCAATATCTTTCGTATGAATAATCTAAACAAATACTGATATCAGTATTACATCGTACAATAATTGCAGCCTCTGGATTAACAAGTAATGTATTATTCTTAAATAGCGATTCAGTCATTAATTTAAAACTATAGACATCATTGTAATTTTGTTTAAATCACTGACTACAGTTAGGCAACCATTGAAAACCTGGAAGCAATGGACACCTATTTAGTCTTAGTATGAGACTCTTAAACAGTGGCCATCCAAAACCCTTCCACTGAGGAACGGACCCAAGAACTTCGGTATCCTCGTGCAAACACTTAGCCTCTAAACCTCTCCAGTTAGTCTGCGATATTGCGCGACCAGCTTCCATTATCTTTGGTGAATACCTTAATTAAATCCAATACTATCGTGAATGTGCATTAACGAAGAATCCCAGCTATTCAGTGTTTTAAGGTTCTCAACAGTTGTCTAGCTGAGATTAGCTCGTGATTTTAACGAGATTCAACAATCTCCACAACTTTAATAAGTGATAATCATTCTAATTATATATGACGTGAAAAAGATAAATTAAAAACAGTTACCTACCCAGTGAATGAATGAACACCTGGAGATGGTAATAAAACTGCCATACTTCGAAGACGTCCACAATTGATAATTACATTTGGAATTACTTGATTCAGTTGACAATGTTCAATAATATGTTTCGCTAAGTTATCTATATATAATTCAACAGTATATGCTATTTATAGAAAATAAAAGTGAATAATGTTGAACAACTGAATGAAGAACAAACTTTCAGCACTTGAAATGTATTTGCTAGCTTCGAAAATTATTGATTTCAATTGAAATTGATTATACAACTCCATTAGATCGTTAGATAACTAAAACAAACAAAAAACACCCAGAGAATCCTGATCATATCAGTAACTATGAATGAAGTGAAAAGATAAGTTATATGCATATAAACATTGAGGCGCTAATTCAATTCAGTGGTGTATAAAAAATATTATAAACAAAACGGAAATAAAATTACCACAGAAATTATGTTGAATGATTAGATCGGGTCATGTGTGTATGAGATCGATAGCATTCGATCAGCACTAAGAAGGACTTGACACGCATGACATTGACCACCACCCAGTGATCAATCAATTGTGATTACATCTCACTCTAACAGGAGATCGGTCGCGGCCCGAATAGCTCAGTGGTAACGTCTCTGACTGTGAAGCTGAGTGACACGGGATCGAATCCGTCAGGGAGCACCAGTTCCCTCAAGATTACAGATACACCTTGCTGACGAGTGCCAAGTAGCACGAAACCCGGGTCCAGGGTTTCCTGTTGACCACCTCCAACCACCATCTTATCTCAACATAGTTCATGCAATGTCAAGCCACCTTGACTAGTGTTTACATTGCAATCGATCAGCACTAAGAAGGACTTGACACGCATAACATTGATCACCACTCCGTGATCAATCAATTGTGATAAGATTATATTTTGTTACGTGTACTCTTAGACACTCTTGACTTCTTAGTAGGTCCTCAGTAATTTCCTATTGTTGAATCCAGGGAAATCCGAGAAGCATAGAAGCTTGATTTTTAGGGTTAGTTCATTTGCAAAACAACAAGCCTATTTACAGGATTAAATATGAGCTTGGAGTTTTAGATGTTTCTCTAACAAATCAATAATGGTACACCTTTATATCACCAAGCATAATTGAGACAGATGGATGTTAAAATTGAACGCCCCCTCCAGGATAAAATTAAAATAAACATTAATATTCAACAAGAAGGTAGGAATAAGGAGTTCAATGTTAGGGATTTAAAAACTCATCTGATAGTTTTTTGGCACAACGTTTATGTGAATCGTGAATCACAATAACTTCAGTATCAAAGTCATATGAATGAACTTTATTGTTTAGCAAAATATTAACAAGTAGATCAATGTCAATGTTTCAGAATATGAGACAGCGCAGCTGGGGCTTAAATACTACAGGAAGAATCAGTAGTCTCAAGAATTCAGGTGTACTTTTACTGACGGGTGTTAAATACGATAAAACTTGCGTCTAGGGTTTCCAATCGACTACCTCCAAGTACTACCTAACATTTCAACACAGTACACAAGTTATTGAATCATTTGAACCAGTTACCACATAGTAACTTGATCGATAGAATTCAATTTGCATTAAAAACTAGACAAACATAATATTAGCCAGTACTCAGTGAATACTGTACGTAAGGAAACAATTTGCAAAGCTCAGAAACGAAAAAAAAGTAGTTTCAAGCCATTAATTCGCTTCACCATAAATTTGCCAAGAATTATATACATGTGAATATCAACTGGAGAAGTTCCACTCACCTGTTTATCACTCAAACTAATGAACACAATTGAAGTATCATTAATTAGACTTTTGGGAAAATCTACTGGATAAGTGAGAGAGAAATTAGTGAAGTACGAAGACCCTCCATCTGTAAATAATAAAATCTGAAGGATACAACAAAAATAATAAAACGAAAATTTAACTTCATATATGAATACTAATAATATTACGCAATAATCACAGTAATGATTTGGTAAAATTGAAAGTCACAATAATTATTATTATTTCTATTATAACGAACGATTTAAATAATTACACTCAACTTGAATCTAGATTAATTCGGTGAATTCCAAAATTTGATCCAAACCAGTCTACCAGAAATATTTTATCTGTAAATCTAAAGACAGTCATTTAATTATAAGCAACGTTGAGCTTCGAATGTATGTGCATCAGCCGATGTCGTACCACATTAGCAAAGTGAGTTGAAATTGTTAAGGCAAGTGCCACTGATGTCGAGAGACATACGTGGTAGATAGTACAAATAGGAAGTGGTATGTCCGGCGGAAGAAGGTTAAAAAGACCGAGGAGAAGAGAACGGGAACAGAAAGTGATTGGTATGGAAACGAAGAAACAATGAAGTCAGAGACAATTGATTGATATTTTGCAAATGAAGTATTTACTGTATAGTTCTCAGATTTCACTAAGAGATCCTGTAATTTTGTATTCAGATACGTTTGGTTGTTTCCTTCTATGTTCTCGTTCACAACACCACGACAGTAGAAATAGTAATAGTATCAATTGAGTACACAATATGATTTGAAAAGAACAAATAGTACAAGATAATTTTAATACCTAATATCTAAGAATCTAAGTCAAAGAGTGATTGCATCTAAACCACTTTGACTAATTTTTAGTCATGTAATCCAACATCTTCTACTTCTATCGAGAGTAATATAACCAGATAGTATGCACCTGATAGGCGAAATGAGAATAAAGAGGGGTACATAAGTGACATAGAGTAAAGGAAATAAAAACGAATGTTATCATATGACTGTGAATATGATTTGTCTGAATGAGCGCTGAAACAAGAGTAATTTTTCCAGTAGGAATCATTATTGATTTGTATGTGGGCTGTGATACTGACCGAGTGCCCAAACTGAAGCAGGTAGCTTTATTAGGGGACCACACCCGGAGCCTTTGACCTAGAGGTTTAATCCACAAAACATTGGGACAATGTGAAGAGATGCGGTCCTATGATAGACGGTGACCGACAATAGGTTCATATGCCATTTCTTCCTTTAGGATCTTGGAGCCCATGTGAACCACTGGTTTGGAGTCAAGGTTTTCCAACTCCCCTAGGCAGATCCGCCGGGTCCAACAACTCGGTTAAAGCACCAGCCATTCGACCTTCATCCTCTCAATTTCGTAAACACCGCCGCAGCGTGAAGACAGTGAGTAGGACTTCCTTGGTAGTGGTTGTATACACGTGGCTACGTGAGAGCATTAGGAGAAGGAAAGCTGGCTCTCGCCCTCTTGGCCGTAGCAGGGCATTTGGGGCTAAAAGTCATAGGTCTGTTGTATAAAAAACACCTAATATGAGCTTCCTACATAAATACCAGCATGTGAAAGAAAAGTGGAGCTAGTCATCTGATGATAAGTTTTTAAATGCTTAATTGTCATCTAACTTAAATATCTGCAATACACAAGTTTAACAGTTAAATATATCAATGTAAACACTTTACTTACTTGGATATTCGACCATGGTCCATAGTACAGATATGCTTCTTTCAAGATGTTAAGAATTGATGTGGCTGTCAATTCACTAGGGAAAAACGCCTTAGCTGTCTGTTCAATGTGATCAATTGCATTATGTAAGCTAGATACATCGGAAGAAAATGGACCAAAAGATCCTTTAGAAGACAAGCTTGTTGTATCGCACTGTTAAAAAAATAGTTAAAAACATGTTGAATTCGCATCTGTAACTTATATTAAGAATTGAAAAAGTAGTTATACAATGGTAGAGGGACAGCAATAAAAGGATAATTAATCAGAACTAATGCTGAAATTTGGTAATTAATTGCATAATTCTAAATAAGAAAAAATATTTTTGCGGAGAATTTTTTCCTTCAACGATTTCACTTTACAAACCATACACTTGTATCTATATATTCATTGCCTAATTAATAATCTATTTTGACTATTAGTACGAGCAGATCTGATGATTTTCATTCATTATGTTCGCGTAAACAGATACACAAAACCTTTTTATTACATGAATTATCCTACCAAAATAAGATTGTGCAGAATTTAAAAGTGAAACCATCGAAGAGAAAATTTCGTTAATCAATTTTATTATTAAAAAACACTATCTTACAACAGCTGATAACATCAATAGCAAGTGTAATCCATTTGATGCAGCAGGCTTATGCTCTCCAGTTATGAACGAGATAGTTTATGTGAAACTTCCTTGAATTTAGGAAGGTACAGAAGGGTTAAAACATGTAAACCACTGATTAGGACTAAAGTGATGAGAACAAGAAATCCTACAGTTTACTGGATCATTGAACAGTATTCTGTAAAGGATCCTTATTTAAGGGTACCATCAAGTTCCTTCTGGTACTCCTCTGCCCTAATAACAACAACACTACTAGCATAGTGCTGCTCTCAGTGTAAACAATGCTGAGATTTGTGGTAAAGTACAAATTAGACTTAAAAATATTTAGTACGAGGCTATATATATATATATATATATAAATATATGATTTTTTAAATAAGTAGGTCACGCTTCTAACCAAATTTAGATCTACATTCAAAAGCTTATATTTAAGACTAACATCTGATCTTTGAGAACCATTTACGCACTAATCTATTCACATCAGTACTGCATAAAGTATGCTTTAGGATAAAAAATAAATAAAAACTTACTACAGATATAAAACCAGGGTTTTTAAGGTTACAGAGTTTAACAATGACAGATTTAGCCAACATGCATAGTAATTGACTGCATGAAAATGATGGAAAATTTTCATTTGGACGCAAGATACGTAGTTGTCTATCAATGACAACTAGACGAATCATTTCTTAGAAACTGTGAAATGTATCTAAAAAACGAAACAGGAGTAGTTTGAGATTTAAAATCTAATCAATCCCTAAAGATGAGAAAAAATCCAAACTCTGTAATCTTGTGTAGGTTTGCATAATAGGTGTGAAGACCATCATACTAGCCAACCGTTGGTGCTGTATTAAGTGAGAAATAAGATACAATAATAATCTAAACAAATGAATGGATATACTCAAATTCTTACTTAAAACAATAGTATGGATCATAAATGGTTTGACTAACAATCACCCGAAGTAAGTATGGAAATCTAAAACTCCACCCTTCACAAATTAACAAAAGTACATTACGCCTAGTGACCGGCCTAACGAAATGTAAAAGTTAGGGCACATAATAAATTTATGATGAGTAAACACTGAATGAATAGGTTTTTGTACTTACAACTCGACAATTTATAAAGCAAGATCAGTCACACAGCAGCTGAGATTCTAGTAGATCTAAGAAAGTGTTCTTAGTTAATTTGTACTGTGGGGACTGGTCACAATCACTGATTGTCCCAATATATAAAAAGGGGTCAAAATCATCCTGCGATAACCATAGAGGGATTAGTCTGACCAACATAGCATCTAAAATACTAGCCTCAATAATTATCGGGCGCCTAACTAAGACTCGTGAACTGCAAACACGAGAAAATCAGGCTGGCTTCAGACCTGGTCGTGGCTGTATCGACCACATATTCACCATTCGTCAAGTGTTAGAGCACAGACACGCTTATCGGCGTCCGACAATGGTAGTTTTTCTTGACTTGAAAGCAGCATTTGACTCTGTAGACCGAGAGGTTCTGTGGCAGTGTCTGTCATTGAAAGGTGTACCTGAGAAGTACATAAACCTTGTGAAGGCTCTTTACTCGAACACTATCAGTCGAGTGAGAGCTTATGGCGAACTGTCATATGATTTTACAACCTCAAGTGGTGTCCGTCAAGGCTGTCCACTATCCCCATTTTTGTTTAACTTCATTATAGACCTGTTGCTGGAAACAACACTCTCTTCGACTGAATTTACAGGAATTGATCTCCTACCAGGTGGACCACTAAGCGACTTAGAATACGCAGATGACATAGTCCTGTTTGGTGAAGACGCTGGCAAAATGCAGAGTCTTCTGTTGGAACTCAGTAATAATGCCAGGATGTTTGGGATGCGATTCTCCCCATCCAAATGTAAATTGTTACTCCAGGACTGGCCTGCATCAACATCTGAACTAAGGATAGGGAGTGAAGTAGTCGAACGCGTCGACAACTTCACTTATCTTGGAAGTCTGATCAGCCCTAATGGGTTGGTGTCTGACGAAATCTCAGCACGGATTCGAAAAGCTAGTTTGGCTTTTGCCAACTTACGTCACCTATGGCGAAGACGAGATATCCGTCTATCAATTAAAGGACGAGTATACTGCGCAGCAGTTCGCTCTGTTCTACTTTACGGTTGTGAAACATGGCCATTAAAAGTAGAAGATACTCGTAAGTTACTAGTATTTGACCACAGATGTCTTAGAAATATTGCTCGCATCTGCTGGGATCACCGGGTAAGTAATAGTGAGGTTAGACGCAGGGTATTAGGGAATGATGGTAAATCAGTTGATCAGGTGATGAATCTTCAGCGACTGAGATGGTTGGGCCATGTGTTACGTATGCCTGAACACCGATTACCACGACGCGCTATGATGACTAGTGTAGGGGATTGTTGGAAGAGAGTTAGGGGCGGCCAAACCAAAACATGGCATCAGTGTTTGAAGTCACTAACTTCTAGTCTGAGCCATGTTGACAGATGCAGACTACCTGATTGGGGTCCGCGTGACTATCGTAACCAATGGTTGGAGACTCTGGGTGACATGGCTCAGAATCGATCACAATGGCGTAGGTGTATACACTCTTTATCTTCCTTTAAACCTTGAGTCTAAAATTGCTTCATATCTCTCTTCCTTCCTGTACTATATCCTTATATACAACCTATAATTTATATACTACTACCACCACTACATTAATTACTTCTATGAATCCGGTGTTCATCTTGTTGTGCTAACGAGGTATGGCAACTTGGACCGATGCATAAATGTGCCTGGTCCTACGTTGTAGCTGACTGACTGTACTGTGGGGAACAAAGTTTATTGTAGGATAGTGTGTTAGTTATGTATCTTGGTGTTCGTGTCACCAGAATGTAAATCAGTCAGCTTATTGTAGCCGCGTCAATAAAATAAAGTGGAAAATGGAAGACTGATCATATCTAAAGGATGGGTTCTTTTGGGAGAAATAACGAGTATAAAAAGAAAGACAGGAATTTAACATGAAACTGAGAAAAAATAAAGACGATTGACCAAAGCAGAAAGTATTTTTTCTGCTAACCATCGAGGAAAATATCAACCCAGTTTTTTAGACATTTTTGATGACGGAACTATGGCTTAACCATCAGCTAAAACGTCTTAAATTCAGAAAAATGAAAATGAAAGACAACTAGCACTTTATAAACAAATACTAGTTTCGGGGCAAAAGATTGTGTTGTTTAGAGTTGCCAATATGTCATTTTTGAATAAATTCCACCGGATGAAAATATGCAATAACCTAAAAATGTTAAAGCATATCAGTGCACTGTGTAGAAGTATTAACAGTGTCTACGATGGTAAAAAGGATCAAACAGTGAATATAGTTCAACAGTGAGGTCTAAAAAATAACTACTGAACATGATATTTGAGACGAAATAAAAAATAGATGTGTTCGCGTCGCTAAAACCAATTGTGAGGCATCACACAACGTCTGGATATGATCCTAACAACAACAACCAATTTGACCCAAGAGTTAATAACTTGGTAGCGTTGAAACCTATTTTAATCGCTTTTAGCTTTTTATCAACCTAATTCTGTACCCAGTGGCATTGCGCGTCGATGTGTGTGGCAATTGTATAAGCTTGACAAAAATGGTATAGGTAAGGAAGTGGATAAAATTGACTTAGTCTACATATGAGTTACACATCAAAACATTCCCCAGCCAACTTCTTAAAATGCTTAATTTAACTGAAGGTTTGTGTATGCCAAATTTACGTTTCGTGGTCTTTAAACATTAAAAAGATATAATCGCGTTACAATGATCAGTTTCAGTTTGGAAAGGACAGGAGGCTTGATCGCCTGTGTTAGTCCTGGCAATGATGGTCTCTCAGCTGATCCAACTTTCTTTTGAAGGAGTCGACGGATGGAGCCTCAACCACGTGCTGAGGTAATGAATTCCACTCGTTGATTATTCGATGGGAAAGTCGGTAGTCAACTGACAAGTAATTCGTTCTGGGCTTGTGAACTTTTTTGGAGTGTCCTCGTAGATTTTCTGTTTTGGAAGACAAGAAAAATGGGGGCATATCAGGTGCAAATTTGTCATTAAGCAATTTGAAAACTGCAATCAAGTCGCCTCTGACTCTTCTATATGACAGCGGGAATAGGTTTAGCTTGGTCAGTCTAGTACCATACGGGAGCTTTGCTATTCCGGGAATCAGCCTAGTTGCTGTTCTCTGAACCCGTTCCAAGAGTTCACTGTCTTTTTTAAACAGGGGCTAGCTGCTTGTATGCAGTACTCAAGTTTAGACACACGAACACTGCATACAAAGACAGAAACGTTTTAGCGTCAAGATGCCTAAAAGCCCTGCGTATGAACCATAAAGTCCTAAAACCTTTGGCGGCTATTGCACGGCAGTGTGCAGTAGTCTTTAAGTCTTGACTGACGATGACGCCTAAGTCATTGTGTGCCTGGACAATATGTAACTCAGTGTTACTCATCGTGTATGTATCTGTAACCTGGTGGCCAATATTCATCACAATACACTTGGAAGTGTTTATCGGCAATTGCCAGGTTTGGGACCATTCAGATAATCTCTCCAGGTCATTTTGAAGTTCTAAGCTATCGCCCTTGCTTTGTATCGCTCTCCATATCTTGACATCGTCAGCATAGAGTAAGACCGATGACGATAGTAGACGAAGGAGGTCATTTACGTACAGGAGGAATAACACTGGCCCCAAAACTGTACCCTGGGGGACTCCACTAAGCACAGATTCCCAGCTAAACAACTTGGAGTCCACCCTTGCTCTTTGTTGACGCTCAATTATGACCACAAACGAGGTATAGGAATAATACATTATTCCTATGGGAAAATGAGTTATCCTACGCGTATTCTTCGCAAGTAGCTAATCAATTTACACAGAGACCTACAACACAAGGATTTTGAGTAGGAAGTTTAATCAGGTCCGACTCGACCATATTAGGGTGAGTTCGTATATACATACAATATCAATTTAGTTCCTTAGTGTGACAGTTTCAGTCTTCAGTCTTCAGTAATAAGGATAGTAGGTTGATGAACCTGTGTTAATCCTGACAGATTTCCTTCCAGTTTATAGATATATATAGTTAGGATGGACACCAATCGACAATTCTGACACAAACCACTTATATCTGACTGTAATTATAAATATTGGAATAGAATTTGTCTTGGAAATACGCCTCAAACATTCGACTCGAAGCAGAAACCAGATGGTGCCGTAAGACTTCGAACGACTTCAAGGCCATCACTCGCAATCCAGTATCCAATACATTTTATATCTACATGACAAGTTAATGTGATTTATTCGCTCTCTCTCCTCAATGTCGCCACAGGACTCCATGTTTTTAATAATTTTTAGCGTGATTAATCCATCACAATATACTGATCCTCATTAATTCAACAGTTAAGTGTATCGAAAAGATAGAAATCTGATTTTCCTGTCACACCAATGCTATTTGTGACAGAATAATTGGCTTCAAAACTCTCCTACTTGTGAGCGACTCATCTATGGCCTATCCGTTTAGAAAGATCTTTACCAGGTTTAAAAGATACCTTTCATGTTCCTAAAATTCTAGAAAACGTTAAGATCTCTGATAAATTCCTTGTTTCATTTAATTTCTAGCTGCCATTTGCTGCTGTTCTATAGATTAAACTTTACAAATTATGTGTAAACACAGTGGACTTCTCCTCCTACCAAAGGCGAGATCAACACAGCTCTCACTACCATGCACAAAATTCGTACAGCTTCAAATCAACAATACATCGAACAGTTAATAGGGTCACTTTTTACAGGCCACCAGGATCGATCCCCGAAGTATCATAGTTTAAGGCACTAGGCTTCATATGAATTGTTCGAACAATCGGTTGTGGTACTGTCCATGTAGAGTGTTGTATGAATGAGGTGTTACTGTTTTTAATCAATTTTGGAAGAAACTTCGGTCTGTTATATAAAATGCAGAAATACACACGGTATTGATCAGAATTTTTGTTATAGACGGAAGTCCAGTAATGCCTCCCTGATTTAAGTACAAAATGAACTGTCTACATTGAATGCTAAGATACTTTCACAGACGATTCTCCCATGTTCATCTACAAACTGAGTTTTTGCACGGATATATATATATATATATATTTCCTTACCACTACAGGTGCAAGTCCCTTCCAATGTATAGATTTGTTACTTATTTCTATGGAAAAACAGAACCTTTTTGAGTGCCTAATTGCTGTCCACATCATTCCAGCAACCTAACTATACCTAAGGTTTAGTTAACGATAGCTCTCATCAACTTGGGCAAAAAACCAGTCTTTTTTATTTCAAGAGTGTGTTACATTGGTTGCCAAGCCCTATATTGCCCTGGGAACACATCTGAATCCGTCCGTCTGATTGCTCATCTTCATAACACAATTTTGCATCAGAAACATAGCTAATAAAGACAGACAATCCTCTCACGTAGTTCCAAAGAATGCAACATTTAAAGCATATAGAGCTCGAAATTCACATGAATTACATAGCTGAAACTTACCACGGAACAAACATTTACCAAACGTGTGCTCATCTTTGTGAACTGCATCACAACTTAATGAATTCTTATCTGAATAACCTTGGTTACATATTGAGCTGTGATGACATAGTAAATTAGTGGGATTCTGTGATGTTTAAATAAATCAATGACTTCTTCGCATCGATGACTGTTGTAATTTTGAATTCCAAATACAATACATTCGTTCGGGCTCATCTTGTGGGGAGTAGTGTAACGTCGTGTACTATATTACACCTACATAGCTTATTCTAGTTTCTGGACAAGCCAATTCACCTATAACGTTATGAGTCATATTTTGATCAT